CATTATTATTATTTTAAAATACTTATTAAAAATAATAATGCATTATTATTATTTTTATTTTTAGTAATATATATACATAATATATATATTTAATTATAATTATTTTTATACATTATTATTATTTTTAATAATAAATTTAATTATAATTATTTTTATTGTAATATATATGCATTAGTAATGATATATATACATATATTGTAGTTATGTGTATATGTGTTTTATTAATTATAAATAATTTTATTTTATATATATATATATATTTGTATATATATATGTGAATTTATATGTATATATTAATTTAAATACATGTAGATGAATATTTGGATATTTAATAATATTTTTGAATGGTGAGTCAGCAGTTTTTTGCTGAGTCAACAGTTTTTTTTGCTGAATAAGCAGTTTTTTGCTGAGTCAACAGTTGCGTTTGTTTGAATTGGAAAAAATTTAAAAGTTTGGGTATTTATGTGGGAGTTTTGAAAAGTTCAGGTATTTATATGACAATTTTATAGTTTGGATATTTATTTGGGATTTTTGTAAAAGTTCGGATATTTTTATGCGATTACCCCAATATTTAAATATACTGAAAATTGAGATCGAATTAAAGAATTACATATTTCGAAATTACTGGATATTTCTTATCAAAGAAATAAGCAAAGAGAAAAAAATACAGCTTGATTTTTTTTTTATACACAACCCATACGTAAAAATAAGTGTGTAATCTATGTATGTTAAATTGTGAATATATACATATATATATTGATTCATAAGGGAAGATTAATACGCATATTGTGTATGTCATATATACACATTTAATTCATCGGTCCAACGATGTATGTATGTTTATAACAAGGCTCTGAATTTGCAACACATGTCCAGTTCTTTTTCTAAGGTTTTTTGTTATTCATATATTATCTATATAGATAAAGAAAAATAAATAAATAGATTTTGCCAATAAAAACATAAACGCAAACCTCCTCTTTTATTGAAAAAAAAATGAATTTTAAAATTATTTATACGATTTGTTTTGGGCCTCTCATGAAATTTGCCTCTTTAAATCGAAAGGACCTTTTTCAGTCACGTGTTTTTTTTTTCCTTTCTCGTCACGTCTAACTAAATGGAGATGGGCCATGTGGTCTTGGTGGAGGCCCATTACAGCTATCTATATCCACGCGCATATATATATATATATATACACGTGTGTGTAATGTATGTATCGGTTTCTCCCCGTGTATACATTTTTTGTTTCACTTTTCTATTTTTCCTTTAAAATTTTTATAAAATCGTTTTATTTTTATATGAAGTTATCATTTATTTCGATTTTAATTTTACAATATTGTACATTTATTTAATTTCATATCGGAGTTTTTTTTTTTTGTCGTTTTCAATAAAAACGATCGTACACCACATTTTCAGTGCTTTTCTTTACGAGTTTGTGATCAAGAATGGGTCGTACAATCTTCACCGAACACATATCCATCCGACTCTGCCATAAAAAGAAAGGTCCCTCCCTCCATTATTATCATCATTATTATTATTAGAATATCGTTTTTTTATTTGTCGTATATGAAGAATGTGTGCATAAAATAATAGCATACAACTGGTACGGAACCAAAATGAATAATCCACGAATTGTCAAATTTTGTTGGAAGAAAAAAAGAATATTTGGGGCATGGCATGCCACCCCAAGATGGACATGAGTTTCAAATTAATAGAACAAATAAATTAAAAAAAAGAAAAGAACGTACACGTGTTAAATTGGTTGAATGAAGAACATATATCCTGGAATATATATTTTTTTAAAAGGAAACAGATAGATGGTAGACCATGAGACATGAGACATGCATGTCCTGCCTTTGCGCTTCAGGTTTGCCACGTATATGCTAAAATGTTCGCCGATATTGAAACCAACGTTATAAACCTTAAAAGTAAAATAGGAAAATCAATTTGATGCAAAAAAAAAAAAATGTTGGTCCGATGCCACACATACATATTGCTACCATCATTTCGCACATGACATAACAATAAATAACCAAGACCGGACAAAATCAATTAAAAACCTACGTATGATCCGTAAATGTAGTTTAACGTCCAACATTTATATTATTCATATTATAAATTTAGGTAGATTTAGTTTGCATGAACTCTGTAAAATAGTACGGAACAAAACTCCAGTAACAATCATTACGAAACTGGAAAAAGAGGGTTTGGGATATATATATAGAAAGTCTATAATAACCCAAAATATATTAAAAAAGGAAATTAAGAAAGGTTACAAAGTTAATAACGTACGATTAAAACTGGTAATTACGAGTAGATTTATTCATTGGTCGAGCTTCCGGACAAGTTCTGTCCGAAGACTATCTTCGGATCTAAGACCGATGGGAACCCAAACGACTGCGTCTTGGACCATGAGGTCGTTCACGCGTGAGGCACTGGCGTGGATCACACGGCACTCCATCTCCCTCAGTGCTCCCATTAACGCCGCCGTCGGATGGTTCACGTTCTCCGACTGAACCCTAACCACCGCTTCGTCTCCTACCATCTTCACCTGCACCTCGGCGCCAGGGATCACTCCCCCTGCCTCCGACGACGTCGTATTGCTCTGGTTGTTGTTGTTGTTGTTGCTGCAACTGGGCGACTGCGTCTGCGTCTGCAGCTGCGTTTCGAGCTCCTCGATCCTGGCCTTCAGTTCGTTGATGTAAGAAACGGCGTCGGACAAGAGTGAAGCCTTGTCCATCCGCGACACGTTCGGTACGACGGCGCGTAGCGCGTAGAACCGGTGGTTCAGCTTCACCCGCCTCTGCCTCTCCGCCTCCACGTGGTTCACCGGGACCGCCGCCGGTGTCCCGAGTTTCTTCCTCCGCTTGTTACCCTGAAAAATCCCGTCGAAGTCGGAGTACTCGGAGTCCGTCAGTAGCAACGGCGGACGACCTGGGCTAGGACCCGACCCGGTCCGTGTCTTTTGCCCTTGTAATAGTGCCGTCGTAATTCCCATGTCGGCGAAAGAGACGTACCGGCCGAGGGAATCAAGGGGCGGTGGTTTGGTCAGTGGTATCTCCGGTGGATCTGAGCCGAACAAGGATCTGACAAGGTTGACCAAACTCCAGTTTTGTGGGATCTTGTCGGGTGAACCGAGTTCGATGATGCTGTTTCGTAAGGGTACGGAGACGAAGGTCTGAACACCGTGCAAACTGGCTTCTTTGGCTCGGTCGCAGTCGTGAAGGCGGAGGTCATCGGCGCCGGTGAGCCATAGCAAGGATCCGCCGGTGAAATCTTTCCTCGGTGACTCATCTCCGTCGTGGAACGAGCTCGTGAGGGACATTACGTAGAACCATTCCAGATCGCAGACGCTGTCGCCGCCGTCCACAGCCGCTTCACACTCCATGTTATCATTTGTAAGCTTTAAACACAGACAAAAAAACATGAATAATAACCCGTTTTTATATAAAAAAAGCCTCGTCCTTTCTAATATTTTTTGGATGCTTGATATAATCGACTCAAGAACATCTCAAGCTAGAACCCAGAGAAACAAAGTGAGAACAGCATATAGAGGTAAAACAATGTAAACATTTTGCCAAACGACAAGATGGTGGGCAACATGGAGAATAACACAGGCGGAGAATACGCACATTTTGGTGGGACTTGTGGTTGTGGACTCCTCGGAAATGGCCATCTCCCCAGGCCAAGAAACACCGACCAGACTGATCATCGGACAGTTTCTGCCAGAAAATGACGTAAGCCCACCTGTCCGGCGACGACGTTTCTATGACCGACCGGAGTTTCTGCTGCAGAGAACCCGTCGCCGGAGGTTCCTCGGTTACAGTGACAAGAGAAGTGGACGAAGAGGGAGAAACTCTGAGTTCATCCATTGTTGAGGAAGAAGACAACAAGGGGAGATGCTGGAAATAAACTGCGCTCTACAGTCGAGAAGAGTAATCATTTATATCATACGTGTACATTGTATGGCTATGCAATTTCAATTAAATGACCCAAAATGATTCTTAGTTTTTATCCCATCTGTCATCCACCTTCTGTCATTTTATGTTGTTTTATATATGCTAGGGGTTTATCCATTAGAAAATAAAATTGGGGTGTTTTTCTGAAATAAAAATATGTCAGGGGTTACTATAATAATTTCAAGAAGCTTGATTGTTCTACACAACTTTTTCTATACCTTTTTGTGTCACGTGGGCTTATGATATATATTTTTTTATTTTTTTATGCAGCGCTAAAATTAATTAATGAAAAGGATACGAGATTTCGTAAAAATCTTTGGGCCAAGAGGGTACCCACAGAACGAATGCCACGTGTATCTGATCGATTGCGACAGTGCGGTCCAACTTGAACAGTAACACACCGCTCCTCCTTTTTATTTACCTGATTACAAATATTTCATGTCGTTTCTTCAAAAAAAAAAATTGAAATTGAATGATATAACACTGTTGACGGACCAAATTATATTTAGCGCGAGAAGAATTATTTGGGGATGGGAAAGGTAATTAAATATGCTTACTCTTTCATAATTAAATCATGGGCTATTTTGAAAAGTTCATATTAAGGCCCAACTAAGATGCTCAATTCATATTGCCGCTAAATTCGCCCAAAAGCCCATAATAAGCCCATATGATTTACCTGTCAAATTTTTTATTTTTATTTTTTAATTTCTCTCGGTATTTTATCGTTCTGTCACTCTCCTAACATCATTGAACTCATGGTTGCACATGTGTGATATGTGCATACATTTTTTTTATTAATTATATACGTTGTACATTCATTTGACATAAAAAAAAATTGATGTTAATGATATATTTAACTGTGTCTGTCCATTATTTCAATCCCATAATCCACTATTTTTACTAGAACAATAAATGAAGATATTTTGCTTATCTTTTCCGCAAGTTTCAAATTACATGCATCATTTGCTTGGTCTAATTTTGCTCGATATGCTTCTTACCCTGCACCATTCACATGCACTATGATCAAACTTAGAAAACAAAATCTCTGTCTTGAAAATAAAAAACTATACTATGAGATATCAAGAAGATAAAGATTGGTAGAATTTAAATGTTATGTAAAATCGTTGTGTAACATAAGTTGCAAGAGAAACGGTCATTGAGTTATTTACATTAGAAAAGGCCGACGACATATTTATGATACAAACAAAGAAAACCCGTCAACTGGTCCCGTGTCCTCGTCTTGGTTAGGCCAAGGTTTTTGCCTTCACGAAAGAAGAACTTTTCATTTCATCAAACCCTAAAGCACCCAGCAAGATGGCCATGGTGGTGAGGGAGAGATTTTTCTCGATCGATCAAACCTTGAACGTACCTAAACTGTTCGACGTGACAAGGGATCGTGATCGTGCCCTTCTGGTCGAATCCGAATTCTTCTTCAGCTTCCTTCAGAAGGTGTTTGAACAATGGATGATTGAAATACATCACAGGGACAACAAATCTCTCTCTCTCCTCTCCTTGCCCTACCCTCACCGCCAGACACCCCTTCGGTACTTTCACATTATGGTGATGGTGATGATGATGATGGAGACGAGGGATGTGAACGTGGAAGCTCCACATGCTGGCTTTGTCGCCGCTGCCCATATTTTCTTTTCGATTAGTTGGATCCGTTCTAGGGTTTCTGTGATCTTTCCATGTTTTCTTTTCGTGGAAATTTTTGGCCTAGAAAGCGAAGGAAAATGGCCAAGGTTCTTGGAGGACTGTACAAGGGATATCAAGGTAGGCTTGCTTGTTAGACATTTCTTTGAAGATGAGACTCTCTTTGGTCTGAATCCACAACGGCAACGAGACGATGCTTATATATAATAATTGATGAGGATCATAATTAAAATACAAGTAAAAAATGCTTCGATTTTCGAATACGTGTCCAAAATGATAAAGTAGAGGTGGGGAGAAAGAAGAAGGGAGAATATGATTTACTTGAAAACTAAGCGTTCAAACTTTAGTCTTGTCATGATATTGTCGTATATTGTACTTTTGATCTCTCTCTCTATATATATATCCATCTTTATTATGTATGGACATAGGTACAGATATAATTAAGAATGTATTTAATAGATATCCATAACTACCATATTAATACATAAGTAAATGCAGAATATATGAATGCGGGAAAGGAAAAGACAAAAATAGAACAGAAGACAGAAAAGGTGAAAGTGGAAGGAATATATGTATGATTTACTCCCGGATATTTAAAATTTAAGTAAAAGGATCATAAAGACGCATTAATTAGCTTTGTTAACCTTGATTAACGGAAGTGATGTCAACTTGTAAGCGGTAGTGTGCATGATCATATCATATAGTCAAGAAATTAAGAGCAGTATAATTTGAGTTGTGAGTCCATCTCAAGCAAATGGCATATTCTCGGATATTCTTTTTATTTACGCACTTATTAATTCTCTCTACTGTGTCTTTCGTCATTAAATGAATATGCCCGAAATTGATTGAAATAATCCTCAAATAATTTTTTTAAGAACCAATTAATTAATACGTCTTTTTTTACCAATCTTTACGTAATTTAAATGTTATTTCTAAAAAACTTATTGATGTTGAATATATTTGTGGGTTTTTATAAAAAAAAATCACCACTTACCGATTCAACTAATAGTTTTTTTTTTTATTAAAAAAAGAATAGAACGATGGAGAAAAATACGTTTTAATGGTAGGAGAAAAGATGCGCAAAAACAATCCAAAGTGGCTCGTTGTGGTTGCCTTCTATTTAAAAAATAAAGAAAATAATGTTTATTTATTTGAAAAGTCAAAAGCTATCGTCTGATTTAAAAGGCTTGGAATCTAACACATGTTGCCTTTAATACAAAGGCTACTAAAATGACATTACTTTTTGTTTATATATATCATTATTGGGAATCTAATTGATTGTTTTTTTTTTTATAATGTATACTCCCACTTGAATTACAATACATTTTTTTTCCGGCAAAACAAAAACGTTATGCTCCTTTTTTTTGTTATATTCTCTCTATTTTGATTTCTATTATATACATTGATCATTCAACAGTGCTTTAGATTGGTACCCTCCAAAATACGTGAAATATTTAAAAAAAAAATAAATCAAAAACACGTCTTTAAATCAATTTAATATATGAAATTATAAAGTATATGGAATATGCATACATTATAATTATACATAAATAAAATATTTGGAAGAAAAAGTATATGGTACCCGTTCCATGGGATCGTGGACCGCATAATAAAAGCCCAGTAGTTATCATTACAATAACTGGGCCTAATGTTTAACGAAACGAACCTGGCCCTTAAAAACTTATTTGTAATTGCAATTTAAGTGGAAGGAAAGTCCAACAAATAAGCCCAATGGGCCAGCCTGTTTCTTAATCATTACTTATAATTCCCAAAAGACAACGGACGATAACACAGGAGGTCTTTATCTTATATTATGCAAAAGTAACCCAACGCTTTTCTTTTGTTTCTTTCTGTTCGAGGAAATTGAAGTTAATTTCTAAATAACATTTAATGCTAAAATTTGTATCTATTTTATCTTATCAAATATAGATGTGTGTATATATTATATATATTTTACATAAACCAACAAGAGTAATATAACTTTTTTCGGGGGGTGGGGGACATATAATTGTCTTATCTTTATTATAAATTCTATCCTTTTTGTGATTTAAAAAAAAGTAAAAAATACGAATAAAAAAAGAAAAGGGTAAATAATAAGAGATGAGCAAAATGGACACGTGGCGAGCAGAGAAGGCATATCAAAGGAGCCTGACCAGATTCAAAGACATTTTTTTTTTTGGAAGGAAAGGATCCACAGATTCACGCATCCGATTGTAATTCTTGCGCCACGTGTCTTGCGTCAAAACATAGGACCACATGTTTGCTGCCACGTCATGTTTAATCGCAAATGCCGAACGTCGAATCCAGTCAGTACGAGTTATACGTGGCAGTCCCTTATTGGTTATTTTTGGGTGACTGGGGAGACATGGATTGTCCTCATCTATAAATTTTAGCGTTCTGTTCTGGTGGTCACTTTTCGACGTCGGTTTTTGTTTTTCCTAGGGCAATGCTATGTTTCATGGGCCAAGTTATGTTACAAATTAACTATTTAAACTATTTTAGAAAATTTTACAACTAGAGAATCTCTACTTTTGATGAGCTAATAGGAGTTATATGCATACGTAAAGTTAAATAACGTGATTATTCTTTTGGGTTGGCTAACGAATTTCATTATGATATCATCTCATGTCATGCATATTATAATTAGACAACAAGATTGTATTAATCCCTCTATACATCACCCCCGGATGCAATTCGAACAAAGCACGATAGAACCTTCGGAATGTTGATAATTTCCCATCCATGTTTTCTCTCTCGTGAAATATGCTTGTAAATTGGAATATACATAAAATGGAGAAGAAAGAAAAGCGCAGCAGGTGGGCGAGTGAGATGAAAGGGTGTTGCTCTTGGGGCCCCGGTCACCAGTTCGAATCTAGCTGTTGGGGAGGGAGGGGGTGTTTTCTCGGTTGGAAGGGTGTTGCTCTCTGTGCCCCTATCACCGGACCTCTAAAGGTTGTTCCCGGGCCTGAGGGGATGTAGGCCCAAGTGAACCTCTCGGTTATCAAAAAAAAAAAAAAAAAAACGCCGCACGGCAACGGTCCAATCCGACAGCATAAAAAGCAAGTATCAAATCAATGTCCCACTACAACTCTTCCCTTTCATAACAACTGTCGACCCCCCCCCATGGCCCCATATATATTCACAGATATATATATGAATGTCTCTGTGTACAAATATATATTACATGCACACACATACAAAAAAATAAAAACCAAGAAATGTCGCAGAACAAAGTTTGATAAACTAAGGAAATCCAAAATATTACCGTAGTTTTGAAGCTAAGACACTCACACCCACATCGCCGGAGACGCTTCTTCATACATTCAAAGTGTTTGCAGACACTCCCGCATATAATATGGAGAAACAAAGTTACGTTCACGGCGAAAGAGAGAGATCATATCAATGGAGGAACGAAGACTTTGACTTCAGCCGCAACAGCAATTGTAAGGAGGAGAAGCAGAAGAAGAAGAGATTTAGCGAGGAACAGATAAAATGGCTAAAGGAGATATTCGAGAAGGAGAAGAAGCTGGACCCGAGGAGGAAAATGGAGGTGGCTCGGCAGTTAAGGCTCGAACCCAAACAAGTGGCTATATGGTTCCAGAACAAGCGAGCCAGCTCCAAGTCCAAACAGCTTCAGACTGATTTCGCTACCCTTCGAGTCCACTACGATTGCTTGGCTCGCGACTTCCAGAAATCCCTGGAAGAGAAACATCATTTGCTCTCACAGGTGTGTTTTTATTCACATATACACACACACACACACACATGTGGGTGTAAGTATGCATGTGTATTTGTCGATTAGATGAATGAGAAAGTTCAAAGAATCGATGAGCGTGAACCAAAATCAATTGTCCATTCCATATCGACTATAATACACACTGGAGAAGGATACTGGTGTCATACATGCATGTAAATAGACATGTTTAATGCAGGTGCAGAAACTGAGAGCACAGACGTCAGAAAAACAGCGAGTGAAATCTCTTGACCAAGACTCTGAGGTAGACCGGGAGATTGATAACCGGGATCATGGGAACCGGGCCGGAATCGAACCCGATGGAAAGGTCGGTTCGTCGGGCGAGAGCACGAAGACGGCAGAGTTCGGATCTACGGGAAGTGAAGACCTTCTTTTCAAGTCAGAGGTTTACTCATGGGCTCTGTCTGATAAATGGGCCGAGCTTCTCGAGTGCTTGGGCTTCTAGTAGAAAAAGTGAAATAAATAAATAAATAAAATAAAACAGTAGAGGGAGAGAGAGATGATAGATGATAGATTCCTTTTTTTTTTAATTAGAGAAAATAATGTTTTGCAAGTGATTTAGGGGATTGGAATATCTTGGTTCAAATCAATAATGAAATGCATATAAGCTATAATCACAGGTTACGAATCATCTATAAATTTTTTTGGCACTAAATTGATTAAAAGAATAAAATAAAACAGATTTAAATGGGTGTCATTTTTAGTAACATTATCAATGTATTTTTCAACAGAGTTTTTGATGAGACGAAAAAAGAAAAAGGATAATAATCCTTTCGGATGGAAAAAACTATTACCCAAAAGATAGACAGTGCTCGGACCAATCTCCGACGTCTCTCCAACTTTGGCATTTCATCGTCAAAGTGATGAATGACCTCTCAAATGTAGCCCTAAGGGACCACCGTTGCAGCTTCTCTTGCTCTCCGTTCCCTCCGCCGGTGACTTACCTTCTCATATCTCTCTTCTTTCTCGGTGCTTTTGTCTCTATCTTCATCGGCATTGTCGTTCGCAACTTCATCTTCCTCGTCTCTTTCCTTCTTCTCTCGTGTCTCGTGGTCTCGTTTGTTGCCTGGAATTGGGTTCAATGGCGACGCAACAAGGCCGTTGTCTCTCTGTTTATCCGTTCTTCCCCGGATTCTGATCTGGGAACCGCCTCCGATGGCCAACTTGTTAAAATCACTGGGGTTAGTACTTCTGCCGGTTCTGTTTCGATTTTATGGAATTTGGTGTTGATTGATTGGTGGGTTTGTGTTAGATGTCCCGAAAGATTTTGTCTTTGGCCCTCCCCTGTTTGTTTGCCGAGAAAGTGGAAATGATGTTGCCTGGAATTTATGCGGGCATTCATAGTTGGTGAGAACAATTATGAACTTTTTCTCCTTGGTGGTTGAAAAACGAAGCGAAGTTATGAACTTTAGTTGATCCGCAGCCACTCGATCTCTTGAGTTGAGTGCCATTGAAGCGTTGTACTTGCAAGTTTGACAGCCTGTACTATTTAAATTGAGATGTACTCTAACTGCTAATGCTTAGTGGATTTGTTTTGGGATTAATTAGCCTTTTTCCAGTTTTAGTGATTGCTCGAAGAGATTTTGGTTTCTTGTGGCTCTCAGCCATGGAAATCAAAGCAATGCAGCTATGTGGTGAAATTTCAGACTCTTTTTAGGTGTTTCGTCTGAAATTCATTTCGCCGCAGTCCATATGTTGTAACCAGAGTTCTTTACACATTGTTCATGTCTCAGCATCTTCATGAACTCACACATTCCGCCCTCTGTTCTCTGTTAGAACCCCATTTCAGAGCTGCAAATGAAGAACCTGTAATGTTCCGTAGCAGAACTATCAGGGTGTGATTGCATTATATGTTTGATACATGATCCGAGTGGATTGTAGTTGTCTGGTCATTAGTCGAACATCCTTCTGGAATCTGGATATTGGATTCATAGAAGGGTCAGAGCATTATAAGCTTATGTTTCCATGTCGGATATGCAATTCTAGCCCAAAGGCGGAAACTGACAGTAACAAAGATTCATCATTCTGGTAATTTCAGATAGCATCATGCGGAAGCATAGCCCTCGAGTCATCCTATGAGAAGGCTACGAGGTGCATCTACACTTCCACACTCTTGCATGAGCACTGCAGGCTAGCACACGCCGAGGTACCTGCATAAGTGTCCACATTCTATAAAACTTTAATAAGATGCTTGAGAGAAGATCCAGCTGATTTCCATCTCCTGAAAAGTGTTGATCTTTAATGCATACCTCACAGAGATTCTCCACAGACTTCTACATAACCGATCTGAAGTTGGGGATAGGAGCGACGGTGAAAGCCGGCTCTAACTGTAATGTCATCTCCCTTATCCCGGAGACCGACCTCGTCAGCACAACCCGAAAAAGCAGAAACTTGTCTCCCCATTTCAGAAAATGGCTTCAACAGAGAAACCTATGTCTTCAACCTGAAACCCGTTTGCTTCGCCTGCAAGAAGGGTAGTTTTCTCTGCTCGGCTGAACCTAATCTTTATAACTTTTTTTTACAAGGATGGTCAAATCGCCAAAAACCTGTTTGGATTGAACGAAAATGACGGATTTGCGTGCTTTTTTTTGTCAGGTACGTGCAGGAAGGAAGCTGTGTGACTGTCATGGGAACGCTACGAACAGAGAATAATGGGTTGACGATTGTTCAGCCGCCGGAGATTTTCTCCACCGGCTGTTTATGGCGGCGGCTGCTTTTTCCTGCAGATATCGACGGTCTGATTATTGCCCTCGCAGAAAAACCCAACATTCAGAGTTCCACATCTCTTCTTCCTAACGCTCAGGTCTGATTTTAGAAACAATCATTGCTAGAGAGAACAGGAAACCTGGAAAAAGATTAGAAGTAGCCATTGATTTATACCCTTCTCTAGGATTTTTTTTATATATAAAAAAGGTAAGTTTATGATCAAATTATTCGACGACAGCAAATATATATGTTATATATGGTATTACAATCAGAAATGACATTCAAACTCTTGAATATCTTATTCTCAATCACCACGAAAAGCAGTAATATTCGGATCGATACAATCATAAACTTGGCGTACCAAATGCATCAATCGATGACCAAGTGGACACCCGGTTTATGATCGGTGGTATAAGATTGGAGGGAGAGAGAAGTGTTGATTCCTTGGACATTGCTGTTAATGAACATGATCAGAGGAACACCTTCGTCTTCCGACACAGTCTCCTCGTCTTTCTCTCTCTTCTTCTTACTGGAAGCTCTTCCAATCATCTCTGATTTGCCCTCGTTGTTCTCGCTCGTGTCCGTCGAGGGACTAGCTCCGAGTTTCTCGGAATCTTCATGACGTTTCTCAAGTTTGGGCTTTTGATCTTTGTCTCCATCTTGGGTACTCCCTTGAGCAGCTTGTGAAGTGAAAATTGTGGGGTTTCTGGGTTTGGGAGATTGATTAGAGGTCGGCCCATGTGATAGTTTAGTTGATAGGCCGAGATGGGTTTTCGGTGGTGACGCGGCGGTCGACGGTGGTGTTTGAATCTGTTCAGACCGGATTTCCTCACCGGCTCTCGGCGCCGGTGGTGATTTTGGTTGCGGAGATGGTGACTGAATCTGATGTTTCTCCCCAGACTTGGGAACTGGATTCGGGGAAGGTGGCGGTGGTTTGGCCATTGATGATGAAGACCCAGAATCTTTCTCAGATTCCAGCGGCAGCGACGGCGATGGCAATGGTGATGGAGGCCAAGATCGAGGTTGTTCACCAGATTTTGGCAACAATGATGGAGATACTGATGATTTAGGTTGGGGTTGAGGTGGTAGGGAGTCTAGAGACAGAGGTTGCTCACCCGGTTTTTGCTTCGCCAATGGTGACGGTGGCGGCGGAGGAGATTGGATTTGTTCACCAGATTGCTGCAACGACGGTGGAGATGGCGATGGTTTTGGCGGTGGTTGTGGTGGTGATGGAGATGGGGAAGGGGGTTTTTCAACGGAATCTGGCGATGGAAGTGCTTCTTTAAGAAATTCTGGCGGTGGAATAGGCTTTGGCTGAGGAGGCTCTTCACCGGATTTTGGTGAAGAGGGCGTTGGTAAGGAGGGTGGTTCAAAAGATTCCGGTGGTTCATGGATTGGTTTTGGTGGCAATGGAGGTGGTTTAGAACTTGCTTCTTCAGCAGGTGGAGCTACAACAGTCTGTTGAAGGGGTTGAGGCTCAGGTGGTGGATGGTCGACGGGTTTTGGCTCAGACTTTGGCTGTTCGATAGGTTTAGGCGAAGGAGGTGGTCGAGACTCGGTGCCTTCAACTGGTTTTGGTGACTGAATTGGAGGAGGTGATGGTGGTGGCTTTAACTCAGTGCCTTCAACTGGTTTTGATGACGTGGTAGAAGGCTCCTGAATAGGTGGTTTTGCTGTCAGCAGCAATGGAAGTGGCTTAGACTTGGCGCCTTCGTTGGGTTTTGGTGACGTTGGTGAAGGCGCCACTGGCGGTTCCTCAATAGGTTTTAATGGAAGTGGCTCAGAGTTGGTGTCTTCAACGGGTTTAGATAAGGTAAGTGGCTTAGACTGGATTGCTTCAATGTGATCTGGTGACGTGGTTGAAGGCATCGGTGGTGGAGGTCGAGGCAGTCGCTTAGACTCCGGTTGGCCTAGAGGTTTAGGAGGAGGTAATGTTGGTGAAGGCGCCAGTGGTGGAATCGACGGTTCCTCAATAGGTTTTTGCGGCGGCGGTAATGGAAGTGGCTTAGACACCAGTGGTGGAACTAGCGGTTCCTCAATAGGTTTTGGCAGTGGCGGAAGTGGCTTAGACTGGATCGCTTCAACGTGATCTGGTGACATGATTGAAGGCACCGGTGGTGGAGGTCGAGGCAGTGGCTTAGATGCCAGTGGTGGAACTGGCTGTTCTTCAATAGGTTTTGGCGGCGACGGTAATGGAAGTGTCTTAGACGCCAGTGGTGGAACTGGCGGTTCCTCAATAGGTTTTGGCGGCGGCGGTAATGGAAGTGGCTTAGAGTTGGTGTCTTCAGCGGGTTTAGATGATGGAAATGGCTTAGACTGGATTGCTTCAACGTGATGTAGTGAAGTGGTTGAAGGCACTGGCGGGGGAATCGGAGCAAGTGGCTTAGCCTCTGGCTGGCCTAGAGGTTTAGGAGGAGGATTTAGACTTTGGCGTGAGTGGACAAGCCTTGCCAAGTTCCCCAGCCAGAACCTCCGCCGTGGCTGCTGCCTGTTCTTGTTATTATTATTACTGTTATACATTCTTCTTCTTATCCTCTCTCTCTCTCTCTACCATTCACCTCATTTCTGCTTAAATACAATCACTTTGGTAATTGCCTTAAAGTTGAAGAGTAAGAAACAAAGCAAGCAAAGCACAAGTGGAGAGACAGAACCTTACTGTTACTGCGTTATAAACTGGAAGAAAAGAACCGTATTCACTTCTTTTTGTTTCACATCACACATCACGTTTCCAAAGTCCTCAATATCATCTTTATTCCGACAAAAAAAAAAGAACGAATGGTTTCTCTTACCACCGTCTGGATTCCAATAAGATTTGTTGCTTCACATGCACTTCCATTAGGAAAATGAAGCGAATTTAACATTTTTGTTTCAAAGAATTACATGTGATTTTGACAACAAATCTCGCAGATTACAGTGCCTTGGTCTTCTTAAATTCACTCTTGACGTACCTTCCTCTTCTCCTTCTGCATCTCCAAATGCACTTGAGCGCCTCATCGATCAGAACCACCGGAAAAGAAACCAATAGGACCACAGACCATTCCTTGAAACTCAAAGGGACAATCCCAAAGACATTGGCCAGGAATGGGACGTAGAGAATGACACAGTGGAGCCCGAAGGAGACGGCCATTGCCACCAGAAGCCAAGGGTTCCTCCATGGCGGCATCTTCAGCAAGCTGTTGTCTTCAGACAGCGCGTTCAGCGAGTTGAACATCTCGATCGCCACCAGAACCGACAGCGACAGCGTCATCGGCTTCACCTTCCCCACCGTGAAATACTCGCACGGGCTCTGGAAAGTTATGGTTCTACGACCCCCCGCGACTGTGTACGGCGAAACGGTGAAGTTTGCAGAAGACCATGAAGGGCACTCGGCCCAGTTCTGAAGCTGAGAGAAGCCGACGATTGTGTGCCCGTCTGAGATGAGGCTGATCCCAAGGATCGATGCTCGAGTGTACCACAAGACAAAGATCCCGACTGTCGCAATCCCGACGTAGGATCCGACCACCTAAGCAGAAAAGTAAACATCATTGCTTTCAGTAAATCATTGGTCTTGATTCTTGAACCATAAATGTAAGAACCGAGATTTTGATTCTTGAGGTGAAACAAAGAGAGGTATATACGGTCCAGGAGGAAACTGACCAGGTAACGGAGAAGAACCCATGAGCTGATGAGGGAATCATCACTTTTACGAGGAGCTTTCTTCATGATATCGATGTCTGCCGGGTTGAATCCGAGGGCCGTGGCTGGAGGGCCATCCGTCACCAGATTCACCCAAAGGAGCTGAACCGGAATCATACACTCTGGTATCCCGAGTGCCGCGGTCAAGAAAATTGAGATAACCTCTCCTACATTCGATGATATCATATACCTAAACGTTCCACAAGATTGGATCAAACATATACATATATACATGTAAGGAAAAAAGCTAATTGAAACATGTTTTAACCTGATGAAAGCTTTCATATTATTGTAAATGGACCGACCCTCGGCTACCGCTGCAACGATTGTGCTGAAATTGTCATCTGCAAGAACCATATCCGATGCTTCTTTCGCAACCTGGATTGTGCAAGCATTATAAGATGCACATATACAAACAAGCTTCGATCTTTGCTACTGTACGTGTTTTACCTCGGTTCCGGTGATTCCCATTGCAATCCCAATATCAGCAAGTTTCAGAGCAGGAGCGTCATTTACGCCATCGCCCGTCATTGCAACAACTTCTCCCATTTCCTTGAGAATTCTCACTATCTCTTGCTTGTGTCTCGGCTCAGCTCTTGAGAAGACTTTCCCTCCCGGGTCCGAAAGCACTTCCACTTGTCGTGATGTAGGAAGAGCCATGAACTCTTTTCCGGTGAAGCTTTTCACTGAAACATCCTCAGACTCCGAGAATAATCCAATCTCTTGGCAGATAGCCTCGGCCGTCGATTTGTTATCCCCGGTTATCACCATCACTTTAATCCCGGCCTCTCTGCAATCTTCAATGGCTCTACCAACTTCTTCCCGAGGAGGATCCTGATGAAATGTATTCATCAAAACCAGAAGAATATATGTTTTCAGTACATTACCAAGCACTTATACGATGCATGTGGATAAGAGGATGGACCGACCCTGAGACCGACAACTCCAACAAAGACTGAGTCAGTCTCTATGGAGGAATAGCAAGAAGGGTCAAGAAGCTTTTTGTGAGAAGGATGGTCTTCAGAAGAGTAATCAGACAACTCTCCCAACTCGTCTTTGTAGGCCAATCCTAAGCATCTTAAACCCTTTGAAGTCATCTCCGAATGTCTCGTGAGGATTACTTCCCTGCAAGATTCATCCAAAGGTACGATCGATCCGTCGGCAAGTTGTACATAAGAACTTCTCTCCAACACACTCTCGGTCGCACCCTGCAAAACATGCGATATTTTACATCAGAATCTCTTCGATGCATAAACAACAAGAAGATAAGATTTTATGCATTGAAAGATGATATCACCTTGACAAGAAGCCGATTATGCCCCGTGGGTTCGCTGACAATAACACTCATTGATTTACGGATACGGTCAAATTCCAAGGTAGCAACCTTTTTCGATCTTCTGATCCACCATTCACAGCAACCTAGCTTCAGCGAAGTGCCATTGTCTGAATGGTTTGAAGTTTGCTGGCTTTCGTTCCTCTTCTTCCCGGGAATGCCCATCTTTTCAACAAGCACTTTCAAGGCTGCTTCTGTAGGCAAACCCGTTGCCCGGAATAGCTTTCCATCGTAGAATATCCCGGCATCATTGCAAAGTGCAGATATCTCAGCCACAGCCTGCAAGTTAGCATCCATGTTGTAACAATCCCAGTCCATGATTCCACCATCCTTGGGATCATAAGTAGTTCCATCAACACGAAAGACACGAGAAGAGGTAGTCTTGCCGCCTAATGTGACAAACTCTGTCACCGACATCTGGTTTGTTGTCAGAGTTCCTGTCTTGTCTGAACATATCACGGTTGTGCAGCCGAGCGTTTCAACACTGGGAAGCTTTCTGACAATTGCATTCTTCTGTGCCATTTTCCTAGTCCCCAAAGCCAAGCAAGTAGTGATCACTGCAGGAAGACCCTCAGGGATTGCAGCCACTGCAAGAGCAACTGAAATCTTGAAGTAATATGTGCATTTCTGGAAGGAAAACCTCAAGTTTACGAGTCTTCCGTCCACTATATCCCACGAGAGGAAGTTATTATAGTTTATAATCCACACGACAAGACAGACAATGCAGATAACCACTGTTAATCTGTTCCCAAACTCGTCAAGCTTCCTCTTTAATGGTGTATCACTCTCCTCCAGAGAAGCCTCTTGAATTTGCTTCTGAATCTTCCCCATCTCAGTATCCATCCCAGTGCTCGTAACAACGCATATACAGCTCCCGTTTACGACCGTTGTTCCTGCAAAAACCATGTTCTCCTTGGCTTGTAACTCGCAATCATCCATGACAACAAGATTGGATCCTTTTAGGACAGGCATTGCCTCTCCAGTCAAGGAGCTTTGCTCCACCCTCAAAGTCGATGTCTTCAAGGCAGCAACTCTCATGTCAGCGGGGACTTTATCCCCTATATGCAACTCCACTATATCCCCAGGGACAAGCTCTCTGGCGGGCAAGTCAGGTAAGACCAACCCATCTCTTACAACCTTAGCGGATTCACATTGCATCTCTTTAAGAGCCTCGAGGGCTTTCTCGGCGTTGCTCTCTTGCCACACACCCACCACAGCGTTAAGAATCAGAATCAAGACAATGACAAGGGGCTCGACAAATGCCTCGAACCATGATTCTCCAGATTCGTTTCCGTTTGTGAAGGCTAAGATGAAGGATATGAAAGCGGCGCCCAGGAGAATCTTCACGAGGGTATCGTCGAACTGTTCCAAGACAAGATGCCACAAGGGCTTGCCTTTCTCTTTGGCAAGCTCGTTCCAACCATGCTTTTGACGGCGGTTGTGGACCTCATCAGTGGTTAGACCCTTGTCTAGCGTTACGTTGTATTCTTTCAGACATTGCTCGACTGGCCATGACCATGCTGCGAACGGCTTTTCTTCCATTTCGTCAAAGCTTTTGAAGTTGGTAGCTTTGTAAATATTCCAAAGCAGAGAACTTATTCAGCCTGTTATTTCCCCTGAAACGCTTATCAGATTTCCTGCCAAACAGTTCAAGCAAGCAAACCTAGTTTTAGCGAATCGTCACGGTTTCAACTCCAACAGGCAAAATTTTCGACTTTTTTAAATCCTCGAGGGAGTGCGACGATTCAACTTCCATAACATGAAAGTACCGAAACGCAATAAAGATACTGAGATCTGAAAACAGAAAGCAGCAGAAATCCAAGAAGAAGAAGAAGAAGAAGAAGAAGAAGCCACGACAAAAAATAGATCAAACCCAAAACAGAGGACAAACCGTAACTCTTACCAAGGTTACAGGAACACGAAATGGGCGTCCAGAGATGAAATTGAAGATACAAATCCCCATAGAAGAAGGGCTTGAGATGATGGCTTGGAGACAAAGCAAAGAGAAGGAACAAATCCTTCTGAAAACGAGGATGAGAAGAAGAAATAAATTCTTAATAGAGGGACCCCTCCCCTTCTCCTCCTTTGGAAAGAAAGAACCGAAAGGACAATGTTTGATTTGGACTGGTCGTTGTTGGCGCAGTATTAGATGCTCTGCCTATTCTCCCTTCTCGTATGCTTTTGTTTTTGAAAGCGCAAATTTGGTGGTGGTGGTGGGCTGTTCCAAAAAGTGCGAAACTTCCCACTCCACCTTACTCCTTTGACCATTATGCCCTTCTTCTTTTACCGTTATTACATGTCTGACTCTTTTTTTTTTTGAAATCGCTTCTCCGTACGTCGAAGTATTGGGTCCCCACTTGTCCGCTCTCGGGAAATCTCGCAATGGAGGATAAAATAGTAAATTTACACGTGGCAATGGCGTCCAAGGGAGACGACTAATCATCATCATCGACCAATTAAACGACGACATAATAATATTATTTTTCTGGTGAATTATCAATCGAACAACAAACATGATAATATTTCTATTTAAACAACAATAATCAAATGAAATGATAGAAAAAAGTCAAACGATTTTGAGAATGAATAAGCCGTTAAAAGAACCAAAAGACCGTGTTAGTGTCTGTTTAATAATATTTCCGCAACACCTGTCAGTGCGCGTGTTGTCTGAAGAAGATCCGCTGACTTGCTGCTTCTTTTTTTTTTTTTTTGGTTAAATATTCAGAAACCGATGTTCCTAGAAGTTTCTTCCACGATGCCGATGCCTGCTCCACTACGTTTCGTCTTATTATTTGTAATATTCGCACAAACGATACAACAAGTGTGAATCTTTGCCCGGGATTTTCTGTCATTGCCAGTAAAATTTTAATATAATTTAATATTTTAAAATAAAATTAATCGCTCATAATAGCTATAATCTCCAAACCCAATAATAAATCACACATGGTGTTTCAGGAAAAAAAAAACACTAGCCGAAATCCAAATCATAATGTCTTGTCTTAACCTCTATTTCCTTAAAAAAAAAAAAAATAAAGGCACTGGTTCGGGGGTGAGTGGATTTTGCAGGCCCAATAGAAGAAGCCCGTATCAGATTAGTTGGGCTTAAAAGTGAAGGCCCGTTGGACTCTTCCTCTTCGGTAATCTTTTCATCGGACGGATGAGGTGGAGTCATGCGAAAAAAGCTGATCAGAGATCCGACGGCGGAGAATGAATCATCGGAGACACGAACGCTCGGATCCTTTTCCTTCTTTTTGGGTAATGAAGTGACGAGGAAATTTAGTGATGGTTGTTTGGCTTCGTGTCGGATTTCCTTTGGGAACCCGTTTTAAAACCCGCAAGATTCGACAGTTCTTCGACTGCTCTAACGATTTCTTGGATTCTGTCTGTGTTTTCGAGTAACAGAGACACGAGAGTGGCCAGTGGAAGAACTTCATGCATGCTTCGTCTGTTTTCTCCACCTTCTTTCTCCATAACTTCACCTTCTTCATGCTTTTCGATTCGTTCCGGCACCGTTCTTAATCTTTCTTGAAGTTCTTGTTTTGCAGAGATCATCCCGAACAACAGGAAATCCATACTGGATGATTTTGTCGTGCTCTTCATCGCATTGGCTAACTCTTTCAAGATCTTGGAAGAAGCTGAGCTGAGTTTCAGACAGGCTTCTCTGAGATGGTTCTTGAGATGGTCTGGCACCTGTACAAGACAATGACCCTTGATTAGTTTCATGAATCTTAACCATTTTCTCAACGAATCTTGTCTGGAAAGGAATATACCTCTGTTTCTGAGTTGATACAGATAGTGAGATTCTCAAGGCAATAAGCACATCTGCGCATGGAAGCTCCTGCTTTCAGGTATTGCTTCCATGGATGCCTGAAGTTGAAACTTCCATGAGCTGGTTCCCATCTTGCAAAATTCGCCTGAAGGATCACAGACAATAAGCCCTAGTGTAAGAACCTGAAGATCATCAACTAGTTCCCTTTTTTTATGTTTTTTCCGAGTTAATTTGTACCATAGATTCTTCGGGTCCCTTAGAGTTGAGCACACACATGAACCCTTTAATTTTCTTGTTCATGTCTTCATCTTCATTCTGCGTCGAAGCTTCCTTCTCCTTGAAATACTCTGCAACGCATCCTGCGATACGAAATACGCCATTGTCCATCAGAGAATCTCTCTCTGAAGCTCGCTCATGCATTTCCATATGGGAGAGTAGTTTCATACGTACCGTCCAGGGAATCGGCGAGTTTGTCCAGGTTGCGCTGGAGGAGATGGTGAAGCTGAACTCCTGCCCATATGGGACAGAAGAACATGCTTATGATAATGCAGATAGACGTTCCAATGGCAATGGTTGACACTCTCTGCTGAGCCAATGCAATGAGTTTATCAACTCGATAACCCGACACTGAAACCAGGCTGAACGTCAGGATAAAGATCATGGCTCCGTAGTCGAACCGGGCTTTGAACGAGGGCACGAACCGGGAGTAGGTAGCCGCTGAAGCTGGAAGAACACCAAAAACAACAACAATCAATATAAAACTCTTTTGGTTAACTCCTCAAGATTCATATGGAAGGTTACATAAAAGTAAAAAGTTCATATGATATTTTGGTCATTACCAAAGAGAAAAACCGAGCCGGCGATGACAAGTGGCTCGCCACTTCCCGATTGAGCAGCCATCCAATGCACACCAATTCCGAGAGACCCTGCTAACAATGTGGCCACCACTCTATTGATGCATTTGGAGAATGTGGCTCCTGCATCACATGGTGGAAAACACGATCGTTCAATTTTTCAGGAAACTAGGGTTTTGGGAATCATCTAAGGAGATGTATTAGGTTTGAGTTTTACAGTATATATGTATATATATGCATGTTGTGGATTGGCATGAATGGGATAAGATTGTATATTACCAATATTGGAGTCAAAGACAACGACAACGGTCATAATAGCCCACATAGCATTCCCTCCAACACCTTCATACAAGGGTCTCATGTAGTAGAAGATGGATACAAGTGAAAGTGCCAGTCCCACTTTCAGACAGTGAACCACTTTGGTCGGCTCCTCTGCTCCAATCCTCCATGCTTTCTCCATAGACGCGACCGTTCCAAGAACGAACCGGTTCATCACCAGACACTTGAACCAGACCGCAACTCTTCTGCTCAAACCTGAACCTGCAGGAGGATCCAACCTCTCCGATGTCCCATCTTCCACATTTATCCTCCACTCCAACTTTCCGGTCTCATTATCTTTCCCCATTTGATCTCTTCTGGATATCTACTAAATCAAGATTTTCTTGGAATTCTCTCGTGGGTTTTATTGATCTTCTTGTGGGTTGTTCACCAAATGACGCAATACCTGCGGATATATATAGATACCTCTGAGGCGTTGTGGTGATGAAATATTTTCCATAGCCTCTTTGAAAAGAAAATAAATAATAATTTGAGTGCTGACATTTTTTTTTTTTTTGCTACTCACTCCCCACTTACATGAAGGAGAATTTGAGTGCTGATAAAAAGTTTTTATCATTGTCAACTTTTGGACACACCATCATCGCACGAAAACATCGTTTCTTTCTAACACTAACATGTTATTGATCTTGTCGATTTTACGTCGGTACTGCCTCGCTTAGTTCCATTGCAAATAAAGCTTGAAAATTGAAATATAACCCATCTGATCTCTCGTTACACGTACATGCATGAATCACGAGGAAATCATAATCAAATTAAAAATAGTGACAAGTTAATATAATGACAATAATGCCCTTACACTCTTATATAGAATCATATATTATACATCTCCCTGCGAGTCAAAATTAATCAAAATTACGTGCACCAGCAAGTCTGACTATTCTTAATTATTTGACCCAAAAAACTATTCTTAATTAATCAAAACTTATAGTAAAACAAATAAAACTGCACTGATTCGGTGGACGTAAAATATGGTAATAGTAATATAAAAAGAATTACGTGTTCGCTCGCATATACGCATGGAATCATGTTGCAAATGTGGATCTTTTTAGTTAAGCAAATAGAGCACTTGACATATATATATATGTATGTATGTAGTATATTCTTCAGACGCAGCCAAGAGAGATTCCAAGTAGATTCTTGAGTCATTTATATAATCAGGATGACTTTGTGAAATAAACAATTACACGACCTATGAGTTGTGATCTTTTTAATTGACGGTAATACATCCGATTGGACCGATAAACTAAGGTGCGCTACGAGAAATGAAAGTGGTGCTTTTGATTTGTAGACTATAAAATAGGTTTACTTTGAAAAGGTTTTACATTCTCAAATAACAAAGAGAAGTGACATTTATATAACCTAACTTTAATTTAGGTCACTAGGTGAACCCCGAAGAATAACCTAACCTAATTCGGGTGCCAAATCAAAATATCGCTCTGAGCCTAAGTGGAATATGTATTATACAATCATAATTTTTGTTTGTGTAATTTAAATTAATTGGATAATCAATCGAAAACAGGTAGTATACCACTTAGGCCGCGTCTTAATTGGGTGTCCTGAATTGTTTTTCAAAGTGCCCTTCAGCTTATCTCTTTGTTGCATGGTGACATATGTACGTTATGATAAGGGCCATTTGCGTGCCTTATCATCTTTTATTTATATTATCACTCATCACTCGTGTGAGAATTAGGTCATGATTGAATTTGTTTTACGTTGCTGACAACAGAAATGCTGTAGCTTTTTTTATTTATAAAAATATATATATATTTTATGCATACTATCTAGATTAAATTCCATATTATATTCTATTGATTTTAAATCATATTAGCCAAACAGAGAATTGGAAATAATGTATTAGTTATAGTTAGACGGAATTGAAAATAAATAATTTACGTATTAAGCAATTGATTGTCAAGTGGGTCCCACGGCCAGGATTATGCTGACGTGACACTGAGGGGTACAAATTGGAATTAGGAAAAAGTTTTGCGCGTAACATGTATAAATATATATATAATAATTTTAAAAATAATTGTTCAATACAATACTAAAAAAAATACGAGTAGTCAAATAGATTATTTAACAGAATTTTTAACGAAATACGGTCCACGTGGCTTAAGGCTGTGTTTTGGGCAGGTAGTTCGGAAACAATCATCTGAGGCCCAACACAACAAATTGATCCTACGTAACCCGACTATTTGACTAGGCTTGAACGATGAAGCCCATTAACATCTTGGGCCTCTGTTATACCATATATACGTATTTTTCCCGTTTATTTGTTTTTTTAAAATGAAAAAATTGACAAGGTTTAAGGTTCTTGAGTTATATCATATGATCATGAATTTTATAGATCTTTGAATTAAGGCATGATATTTGGTGCATAGATCTTGAAGCACATGGATCATTATCATCAGCAAGTAGCTCTTAGTAACATTGATGATCCAAGAAAAAAGAATCCAAGCTTGGAAAAGACTGAATGGTAGAGAAACAGAGAGAGAGAGAGAGAGTCATCATAGTAGAGAAATGTACCGTACGTCATGATCAGAAGGAGAGGGAACGGGAGTGTTTGGGACGGGAAGTAGTCTTGTCCTCCTCGAGGGAGATGCCAAGGAGATTGGCGGGGTTCTCTATCATCATCTTGGCCACAAGGTATCCGGCTATGCTCCACGTCTGGTACTTCCTCGCTTGTTTCCCAACGTATCTCCCTTCCTTCCCATCGTAATACTCTGGCCATCCATCCTTCCCCAGCCTCTTCTCCACCTCCTCTATCGCTCTTTTCGCCATCTGTGGCCTCCCCGTCTTTATACACGCCGCTGTCAGCATCCACACCAGAACTGCACCAAAACCAAACATCTCATCATCATCATCATCATCATTAATATATATATATATATATATACACGTGTTCACCTGGCCAAGATCCGCCGTTATGGTAGCTCCACCGGGTGTTCTTTGGATCAAATCCAGTAACTGTTCTCCATTCGTGACCCTCCAATGCAGGGTACGTGATCTTCAGTGGCATCTCTCCTATCAGAACCTCCCACCTCTCTTCTATTAGATCCATAATTGCAGTGGCTTGTGTATGCGTGACCAGTGAGCTCAATATGGCAATGCAGTTTCCCACCAGGAACCACCTGAAGTCCATCCGAGCTGGGCTTACGTTTCCTATCAGGTACCCTCCCTTCGATGGCATGAACTCGAACAACCAATCTGGAATCGACTCTGGGATCACATTGAACTTGTTCACTGCCGTGTGCGAGTACTCCTCTGTTTTGTAGCGATATATATGGTTGAGCTGCGCAAAGTCTAGCCAGTAGTATTCTTGGATGTGATAGCTCAGAGCTGAAATCCTCTTGTCGATACGTTCTATCAGCTCTTTCGCATCCCTCTCTGGGTTTATCATTTGCCTTGCACACCTCAGTGAGAAGTAGAATAGTGCCTGAATCTCAATCGGGTATCCGTATATTCCCTGCCAAATCCCAACTCAGTGAAAGTGAGCTAAAAGAAATCTAAACAGGAATATGACATATATGGAACTGCATTCTTAGCAAAGAGGATGTTGCGTGATATAAAGAGGGCAGAAAACAGGAATATTTACCATCCTCCTGTCGATCATACTACAGCCATCAGCGCATAATAGAGTGGGAAAGGTGTCAAAGCCGTCAGAGAGGCAAAGGTCAAGTATGAGCTTTATTCCTCTTTGAACCTCAGGGAGCTCCTCCAGGGTATGATCATGTGTGACTTTGGTGTATGTTCTCAGTAGTATAATCCACCAGAATCCTGAATCAACCGGTGCCACCCTTCCTATAGCGCTTCCACCGAAATCAGCGACTAATGTTTCTTTCTGGCGGTGCGAGTCATAAAGCACCTTAAAGCTGGCAGGCATGACTCCTTCGCCAAGAGTGAATTTATCTATCCTTTTCTCCCATCCTTGAAGGTGGAGAGTCTTCAACAGAAAGTTCTTGACAATTTCTGTTTCTGGAGGATCCCTCATTAGGCATGCTAAACCACTTGGGAAAAAATCTCTCACAAAAACCTGAACACACAATAATCGCTTAGAGCTATCCGATGTATATAACAGGTGCTAAGAAGTTTCACATCTCTCAACTCACGCACAGAATAAGAAGACATACCAAACAGCTAAAGATACGAGCATCCCCAGACAAAAATGGCAACAGCATTCTAGATATTAAGACAAAGCAAAGAAGGAAAAACAATTCTATGCTTCGGTAGACGTTTGTGGTGGAAGTGGTCATGATCAGCTATAGTTATCTATTGAAAGGTAAACCGAGACTTGGCAGACTAAAACCAAATATCATCCCTAGACATCAATAAACTACAGCAAAACTAAACATAGCAAACACGTCACTAATTATAACGCTGAATCAGCAACAAACGTAGTGAGCAGCCAAAAGAACAAGAAAAAAAGGGAAGAGCCTATTTACCTGATTGTAATTCAGAGCTTCAGCGCTTGGATCCATGGCTGCGAGTGTTCCAACAGGTTTACCTTTGAAGTAGACGAAAGACTTTCTCAGTCGATCCCAAGCTTCTTCCATCATCTCCGAACTTGGACCAGTGATTCCTCTGATCGCAGGTGATACATTGGTTACGATATTAGAGCCATCATTGTTTAGATATTCCGTACTGATTCCAACGCTTGCATGGGTCTTCAAGGTCGAGCTAGGCTTTCCTATTTCCACTGTATTCTTATTACGCTCAGAAACTGGCACACTAGCTGCCTTCTTCTCCTTCGCTGTCGCGGCGGCTGGAGAAATCTCACCCTGCTTCGGTTCCTCTGTTTTTGACCGGTGCACATTGTTCCAAATCTCATCTAAAGAAGGAGAAATCATCTCTGATTTTTCTACATTTTCACCCGGAAAAGAGGGAGCCAAGAGTTCGCAGTATTTGTCCGAGCATAGTGGACGCGCGTGTCCTTGAAGTTCCAGAAATTCCTGATCGAACTCCGAATTTTCATATACAATAAACTCGGAAGGCTTTTCACTCGGGTCAATACTTTGCTCATCTGCCGCAACGAGCTTACAATCACCTGCGGAGGCAGCAACACTTACTTCATAGATGACGAGTTCTTCATCTCCACTGGACAAATCTCTGGGATGTGATCCGTTTTCCGAACGAATAGGCAGCTCCTTATCCAAAACTTCTGGCATCATTTCCTTGCCTCCGTCGTCAATCGCTGGAGACGGAGATTCCATAATATCCATAGTCTCTTGTTCTTCGTTCAAAAGATCACGCAGGCTCTTTGGCATCTTGCAGAAGGCGAAATCACGTCAGAAAACATGGTCCATAAAGAGAGAAACCTGATCAAACATCATGATTGTGGAAGACGCTAGAAGATAGCGAGTCTCGACCATAGGAAACCAGAGAGGGAAAACACAGGCCAAAATACACGAAGTAGATGGTCCGTACCTTTCTCAGTTGCTGTTTGGCTCGCGAGAAAATGACGATGGAAGAGGAAATCTGCCGAGAACCCTAGCGTGAGAGAGAATATTGCAGATTTGGCTGGGAGAGGAAGAGAATGGAAAAGAGGTGCGTGTAGTGTGTGCACTGCGAATTCTGTTTTGGCGGTTGAAGAATGAATTCAAGCGTGGTACCAAGTACCCACGTAAACCAGGTGCCCTTTTCTTTTTTTTTTTTTTTTTTTTTTGGTTTTACCACTATCCTTTTTCTCTCTCTCCCCGGAGATTCTCCTCACGCATTACGGTCTCCGGAGTCCGTACACTTTTCCTTTTTCCGTTACAAAGAAACCTACAAAGTTCAGTGTAACAGACTTGTGACCAATAAAAGAACATATGATTAATAGACAGAAAAACTGTTTTGGAGTTAGTATTGGTAGATACATGAACACATGGAAACAAAATCTGAACCAAAAAAACTGTATCAGATTGGTTCACGCGGATACATTTACAGGCTTAATATTAATTTTTTTTTTTTGAAAAAAGAAGAAGAGGAGAAATTCTCTCCATTCGAAGGGCTTCAACCACATCGGCTTTACAGCTTAATATAGAGCAGAGCAGAGAAAGGAGTTGAGGTATGAATCCCTCACTTGTCGAATTCCCATATGACACCTCCATCCTCTGAAACATTCAACCAGATCATGCATTAGCCCCCCCCACACATAATTATATACATATACATACACACATACACACACATCAAACAACAAACACAACAGAAGCAGTTGTTTTGGTCAAAGATTTATGGATTTCCTGGTTCACTTGGGTGATTCTGTGTTGTGCATTCAGGATCCAAATAGCGAACTATGGGCGATAATCCTAGATGTAGAAGCCAAAATCGGATAAACCCGCTAAACGAAGTAGGAACCTCTCAACCAGAAATGCATGTGGAGGCTTATCTCTGACTACTACATGTGCATACATAAAGGCCAATGTACATAATCATTGGGGCTGTGCTAAATCACGAAACCAGACGGGTCACTGCAAGTGTTAAAAGATGACAAGGGAATGCCTTTGAATGTGAAAAATCATTGGACCATAACGTTCAAGCTCCTAACGAGTTAAACCAACAGAAGAAGAGGGAATACCTTTAACTTTCTGGTTGATCCAAACCTCTACAAGCATACCAGCGCCAATGCCGCCAAGGATACACGATCCATAGAAAGCAAGAGCAGAAGGCCAAGACCTTCTTGGGAGGAAATAATAGTCAGGAATCTGCCTAATCTTCTTCGGTAGCCGCTTCTTCACCACTGCTTTTGCACCTGCGCTCGGGTCCTTCTGCAGTTCTGTCCCCACTGCTTTCCAATCAACTCCTTTCAATGGATCTCTCTGCCCTTCACTACCCATTTTTCTAAACATCATTCGACAATAGATAACGTCCACGTTAGATCGCACAAGGGAAACCGGGCTAAACATGGAATCTATGGGATCGACAATAGATAACTCATAGATCACACACGTCGCCTAAAACCCTAATCGACACGATAAACCCTAGTCGATGCAATCCACCTTAAACAATACCGATTTACAACACCAACTGAAATATCATATTTTCGAAATCCAGAAATTTGTACGAAGGTAAAGGGCCAGAGAATAAGCAGTTACCGAGAGAAGACGATGATGACGAAAGAGGGAAGTCCATCCCCAAATGTCTAATTACAAGGAACAAATAAACAATCCGTCGATGGGCTTTATCTGGGCCTAGGCATCAGCGTTGGCCCAAAATAGCGCGTGACAACACGCGCATCCGTTGCGCTACTGTATTGTCCACGAGTCGCTAACACGCGGCGAGTTGAAAGGTCAAAATATAACGCCACGTGTGCCTTTGTACACCACGTGGAAGAATCTCATATGTACATACATACGCAAACGCCTAACTGAGTGAGCCCAGGGTTCTAATTTCTAACATTATGGGACAGCGACACTCCATGAAACATATCCAAACTCGGAACAAGAAAAATAAAATGTTTTCAACGAAGTTAATCGATCATATACATATGAAAAATGAACATTTATTTTGCAGACTTGAATGGTAATAGAGTGATAGTTTTATCGGTTTGATGTATTTTTTGGTTTACTTTGTTTTCCGGTTTACTTGATTCCGGTTTAGTTACTTTGATTGTATAAGACCTAGCTTTCTTTTCATTTTGGAAATATCAGAAAATTTGCACCAAATGTTCGACTGTTTCTTCTCGCCTTTTCTCTCAAATCCAGATTCACAAAATGGTATCAGAGCATCAAATGCGTTTTTTCTTTGATCGATCTTCATTATCCTTTCGTTTTTCTCTCTGATTTTAGTTTTTTTTTCCGGAGATGTCGCATTCTACGAACTCCGATACTCAGAATATTTCCGATTCTACTTCGGATTCAGTTTCTGCGCTCGATCCGTATCTCAATCCGCTGTATCTTCATGCCGCTGACAACATGAGCTTGCAGCTTGTTACCTCGAAGCTTGTTGGTGAAACAAATTACAATGTGTGGTCACGCCTTGTTCGGAAGGCTTTGCGGTCGAAGAACAAGCTCGGATTTATCTACGGAACGGTTCCTAAACCTGCTGTTTCACATCCTACATATGAGACATGGTGTAGATGTGATGATCTTGTCACTACTTGGATAGGTAACTCTGTTTCTGATGATGTTGCCAGTATGATTGTATATCTTGATTCTGCCAAAGATGTATGGAAGCATCTCGAGAAGACGTTTAAGCTGAATAATGTTTCGAAGATTTACAATATTCAACAACAGCTGGATAGTATACAACAAGGATCTATGAGTTTGGCTAATTACTATAACAAATTGACCTCACTTCTGGAGGAACTGAAGAATTTTGAACCGTTTCCGTCATGTACATGTTCTGGATGTACATGTGGTGGTTGTAAGTGTGATATGGAGCAGCGTTGGATTGAATTACTGGATCGCAGGAACATAGTGCGTTTTTTGATGCGGTTGAATGAACCTTATAATGCAGCGAGGCGCCAGATTATGATGATGGAGCCATTGCCAGATCTTCCTACAGTTTATAATCTGATTGCTCAGGAGGAGCAACAGCTTCAGAATCGCAGCATCTTGCCTTCTGATCAGGCAGTGTTTCAGGCTTCAACGAATTATGGCAAACAACGTCTTCCAGTTTCGTCTAATCAGCCAAATTCGAAGCCTAAACCAATCTGTACTCACTGTGGTTTAGCTGGTCACACAGTGAATAAGTGCTACAAACTGTATGGATATCCGCCAAATTTTAAACCTCCTGCAAGTCCTTCTTCGAATACTTGGAATCAGCGAGGTTTCAAACCAAGACAAGGATATGATGATCGAAACAATATTCCTGTCAATTTAGTTACGGCTCGTTCAGATTCAAATTCTTCTGTTGATTCAAGTGGACAAGCTGCTTTGGCACAGGTCCAAGCTCTCTTGTCTCAGTTAACAACTCAGTTTGGTGGTACTGGCTCTGTTTTTCCTGACTCAGGACGTACAACTCCCTCTCCCATACCTAATTCTCCAGGTACAAATTTTACCTCTCTTTCAGTCTTTTCCACCCTAAATTCAGACCTATCTTATTCTTCTTCGGTATGTATTGTGGATACTGGTGCTAGTACCCATGTTTGTTGTGTGAAATCTTGGTTTTCAATGTTGCATATCATTCCTACTGTCACAGTCACACTTCCTACTGGTGCAATAATACCAGTAACTCAGTCAGGCACTGTTTCTATATCCTCTTCCCTTATTCTTCATGATGTTTTGTATATCCCTTCTTTCAGATTTAATCTTCTCAGTGTTAGTGCCTTGACTAAACACACCTCATATTCTGTAACCTTCACAAGTGACTCTTGTTTAATTCAGGACCTTACTCAGGCCTTGATGATTGGCAAGGGTAATCAAATTCAGAATCTATATCTCCTGCCAGTGTCATCCTCTTCTATGCTGTCTAATTCATCATCACTACCACTACATACTACCTTCTCTGTTTCTGTTGACACTTGGCATAAAAGATTGGGACATCCCTCTCTTCTTCGAGTTCAATCTGTTGGAAAGCAGTCTCAGTTGCAGTTCATTCCACTTACTCAAGAATCTGATCATTGTTCCATTTGTCCATTAGCTAAACAAAAACAGCTTTCATTTCCACATTCGAGTCACAAGTCCTCATTACCTTTTGAACTTTTGCATATCGATGTATGGGGTCCTTTTCATTTGCCTACAACTATGGGACATCGCTATTTTTTTACAATTGTTGATGATTGTACTCGAGTTGTATGGGCTTATCTTTTGGTGAATAAAAATGACGTTTTGTTCAGATTTCCAGAGTTTGTTGCTATGGTTGAAAATCAGTTTTCTGTCAAAATCAAATCAGTTAGAAGTGATAATGCTCCGGAGCTCAATTTTACAGATTTTTTTGCTAAGAAGGGCATTATTCACTATCGTTCTTGTCCTTATACACCACAGCAAAATTCGGTTGTTGAGCGTAAGCATCAACACATTTTAAATGTGGCTCGTGCATTGTATTTTCAATCACATATTCCTTTGGTCTATTGGGGTGACTGCGTTTTAACGGCTGTTTATCTTATCAATCGAACACCAACCCCTGTTTTGGAGAATAAAACACCTTTTGAAGTTTTGATGAAAACAAAGCCTGTATACACACATTTAAAAGTTTTTGGATGCTTGTGTTATGTGTCAACACAAGTTCGAGATCGTCATAAGTTTTCTCCTAGAGCCAAAGCTGCTGTTTTTTTAGGTTATCCTAGTGGTGTTAAAGGATACAAAGTTTTGGATTTGGAAACTAATCAGATTCTGATTTCTCGGAATGTAGTGTTTCATGAGACTGTATTTCCTTTCAGAACTTCTGTTGCTGTTACAGAAAATTCACTGTCTTCTAATTCACCTTTGTCTCCTTTCCTTTTATATGATGATCCTGTAACAGCATCTTCATCTCAGCCTTCTTCTGTTTCTCATAATTCATCACTTCCTTTTACTCCAGAATCCTCTGTGTCTATGTCTGGTTCGAATTCTGTCTCTGTGTCTGGTTCGGACTCTTTCTCTGAACCTGTGACTAGGAATGATATTGCATCTATTGGAGATTTAGGTAGACCACAACGACAGGCTAAAACACCTGCTTATCTGCAAGATTACCATGTTTATTTACTCACACATTCTAAACCTCCCTCAGAAACAACCAAAACTCCTTATCCCCTGTCATCTGTTTTAGCCTATGATTTTTTGCATCCTACCTACAGAAAGTTTGTCCTTTCTGTAGCATCAAACCCTGAGCCCAAAACCTATAAACAAGCTGTACAGAATGAACAGTGGAAGCAAGCTATGCTTTCTGAACTTGATGCGTTAACAAGGACAGAGACTTGGTCTGTTTGTCCTTTGCCAGTTGGCAAACGACCCATTGGCTGCAAATGGGTGTTTAAAACGAAGTTTAATGCTGATGGTTCCATTGAGAGATATAAAGCACGTTTGGTGGCTAAAGGTTACACACAAATAGAAGGCATAGATTATTTGGAAACTTTTAGTCCCGTTGCCAAAATGACTACTGTCAGAATTCTGCTTGCTTTAGCAGCTTCTCAGAATTGGTTTATACATCAGCTTGACGTTTCTAACGCCTTTTTAAATGGTGATTTGTCCGAGGAGATCTTCATGACATTGCCACCCGGTTATGCTGAGCTTAAGGGGGAGAATATTCCTTCTGATTATGTCTGCAGGTTACAAAAATCTTTATATGGCCTCAAACAAGCATCAAGGCAATGGAACATCAAGCTTTCACAGGTTTTGATTGCAGCAGGGTGTGTTCAATCAAAATCTGATCATTCATTATTTGTGATGAAACAAGACTCTTCTATTGTGGCTGTGTTGGTGTATGTAGATGACATTTTAGTGGCTGGTAATTCTGAGTTGTTGATTACTGCAGTCAAGACATCTTTACATCAGGCTTTTCAGACGAAGGATCTTGGAAATTTGCAATATTTCTTAGGATTGGAGGTGGCTCGGTCTAAGGAAGGACTTTCTATATGTCAGAGGAAGTATACCCTTGAGTTGTTAGAGGAGTTTGGGATGCTTGGCTGTAAGCCAGCATCGACACCTATGGATTTCCGGCAGAAGTTGTCTTCTGAGTCTGGTGAGCTGATTTCTGATCCTCTTCAGTATCGGAAACTTATTGGGAAACTGATATATCTTGGAATTACAAGACCTGATATTTGTTTTGCTGTGAACAAATTGAGTCAATATATGTCCCAGCCGAGATCTGATCATTTGCAGGCTGCTTTTAGGATACTAAGATATCTTAAAGGTTGTCCTTCACAAGGGTTATTATATTCAGCTAAGAGTGATACACGCTTGAGCGCTTATTCGGATGCGGATTGGGCTGCATGTCCTGATTCAAGGAGGTCGGTAACTGGCTTTTGTGTATTTTTTGGTTCAGCTTTGATTTCTTGGAAATCAAAGAAGCAGGTTACTATCTCTCGGAGTAGTGCTGAATCAGAATATCGAGCGTTGGCACATACTACATCAGAACTTCTTTGGATATCCTCGGTGCTCCAGGAGTTGTATGTTGCATTTCCGAAGCCAGTAACCTTGTTCTGTGATAGTGTCTCGGCGATTCATATAGCGAACAATGCTGTTTTTCATGAAAGGACCAAGCATATTGAGTTGGATTGCCACTTTGTGAGGGATCAGATCAAGCTTGGTTTCTTGAAGCCTTTGCATGTTTCGTCTAAAGATCAATTGGCTGATGTCTTGACGAAACCGGTTTATGTCGAGAATTTTCAGCAACTTGTTTCCAAGATGGGAGTTCATTCTTTGACCTCTCCATCTTGAGGGGGAGTAATAGAGTGATAGTTTTATCGGTTTGATGTATTTTTTGGTTTACTTTGTTTTCCGGTTTACTTGATTCCGGTTTAGTTACTTTGATTGTATAAGACCTAGCTTTCTTTTCATTTTGGAAATATCAGAAAATTTGCACCAAATGTTCGACTGTTTCTTCTCGCCTTTTCTCTCAAATCCAGATTCACAAAAAATGGTAAGTTATAGGGTTTTAATGATTTTCCCGACCTTGTCCAATAAGTGAACGAATATCTTTGTCCTTGACAAGGAAGTAGGGCCAGACGTTTACCACCGTCGATCTCGTCTTCCCCTGCCACGTGTAGTCAATCCAATGGTCACTACGAATGGGGAAACTGTAAAACCGCTCGCTGGAGAGAGTACGAAGGAAGCAAGAACGGTGAAGCAGAAAAGCAAACAAGTACGAATTTATTTAACGATTTCGGTCTGAAGATCAGCTGTCTATTGATCCTGGGAATCCTCGGACTAAAATGGTAACTGTTGCTTCTTTGATGTTAACTCAGTTTCTCTACTCTTATGCTCTGTTCTCATGTCTGATTCACCCGTATTTTCTTCAATTGATGAAAGCGCAAGTTCATCTTGCGTTTTCGTACTGTTTTTCCCATCGCCTGAGATGAAAATTTTCTGGTTTCGATTCATGGGTCTTCTTCTGGTTATGGTTTTCTTGACAAGTTCGCAATTTTCCCTCGAACGCAGTACGATGTTTCCAGACTCATGTCATAGATTCACTTTTGATTTTCCTGATGCCCTAGCTTTTAGTTTTGTCTTGCCATGGCTTTGATCGTTGGTTCATGTCTGGGATCCGTAGGAACTTTTCAGATTTCGTTTTACGTTGACCCAATTTGCTGCTCAAAGACATTTTCTGGGCATACAAAATAATTTTCTTTTACCTGCGAAATTTCTTAGATCCCTTAGAGCTGTAATGTTTATAATTACATCCTATACCAGTGGCTATTGACAATGTTAAATTTGGCCGCCGTCGTGTTAATTTAGAATTAGTCCTGGTATGGAAAAAAAATTATTACTTTTTTTTTCCATTTGCTTGGCAATGCGGAAATAGATAGCTTCTTTCTGCGAATGTCGGAATTAGCGGAATTGCGTGTATTCATTTACCATCTTAATCATGTGTTTTTCTATTGATCATTTGCTTACATGTGAGTTAATGACTTTCTTAGAAGCAATCTCGCAAGTAGCAAGACTGCGTCTTTTTCCTGCGTCCTGTTTGCGGGTTCTTGGGGAAAAGCATATCGGCTAGAGATGAATTCAATCCAGGTAAGTTCGGATGTGAAAAATCTTTGTTCTGTCTCTTTGATGATCCTGCCATAGCATGTAGTAGTCTCTGTGTTTTTTTGTAAGGGGTTTTGTCACATTGACCTGCTTTCCTTTAACCAGAAGCAACGGAAGAGGACTGCATCCATTGCCTCGGCCATACACATTGATCCGGAATCTTCAGCAGATACTTTTTCTTCCGGAAGTTTCGGGGATGCATCCTACTGCTTTGATTTCTCATGTGATACGAAATGGTGGCTGAAGGGCTCGACAGGTGAACACTTTGCCTCATTGGAAGAGGAGCTGGATCTGAATCACGGGTTAATGAACTCGTTCTTTGAAGATACCAAATGCAAGAAAAAGCAAGAATTTGTCGACTTGATGGAAACAGGAGGAGGAGAATACACCTCTTACGGGAATGGCATTCAGGGGAAATTGAACGAGATGTACTTTGAGCCGGTGGAGTTTCCTTGGGTGCCAAGCAAGAAGTCCCAGCCATGGTGGAGAACGACGACAGATAAAGACGAATTGGCTCTTCTGGTAGCTACAAATTCGCTTGATCATATCCAGAATTGTGATCTCCCGCCCCCTCAGAAAGTCCATAACGTGATTCACCTCCCGAGTGGTGGTGGTAAAACACAGCGTTCTGGTTCTATTTATTCTCATCCTGGCCCACTCGTAGAGGATATAGGGTTTCAAGAATCTGCGAAAACGTCATGGAAACAAGGAGTTTCAGGCAAAACCGAGCAAATGGAACACGGGTTTGGGAAATCTGGCAGGTATTTGAGTTATATCCTGTTCTGTCATGTTCTTGATGACATGTTATTACTGATTTTTCACAATGCAGTTACAGCAGCACAGACAAGAACAACGTTAGCTCGAAATCTGCAGACAATGATCTAAACAAGGCTGAGATTCTAGAAGCATTGCGCCATTCGCAAACCCGTGCGAGAGAAGCAGAGAAGGCGGCAAGAGAAGCGTACACAGAGAAAGACCATATGATAACGCTCTTGTTCAGGCAAGCGAGTGAGCTGTTTGCTTATAAGCAGTGGTTCCAACTTCTTCAGCTGGAAGCGCTTTACCTGCAGATAAAGAACAAAGAGAAGCAGATCTCAGGGAGAAACCTGAGGAAGAAATGGCAGAGAAGCAGAAATGGGGGGGTAGGGAGATATGTGGTGGCTTTAGCATTAGGGTTCAGCCTGATTGGAGCTGGTTTGCTCTTGGGTTGGACTGTTGGGTGGCTATTGCCTTTCTAGAATATTCTGGAATCTTTTTTTTTTTGTTAAGAAATATTACAGAATCTTGAAATGTTGGTGTTTTATGTTGCACATTACCGTTATGTATGTGTTGTTTGTTAAAAGATTACCCTCAAAAGGGATATTGTAACTTTGCAATTACAGAATGATATTAAGATTAATCAACTCGTTTAAATTCTATGATAAAAAAAAAAATGAAACTAGCTTTACCTGATCACATATTATACTTTTAACAATAATCTTCAATTATAGAATCCATAAAATTGAATAACCCTTAGTTCGAATCCAAAAAGTGGTCCAGTAAATTGCTAGATTGCTCAAGACAGATCATATGTTTGGATCCAAGACAAGAGCTCCAACAAGGAATAAGGCTATTGTACAAATAACGTTACTTCAAGGGTAATATGATTCCTATTTCCAACAAAGCAAGGACATAGACATTAAAGGACCATGATGATACATCATATTCTCTTTACTATACACAGCTAAAAACATTCAGACATCATCTTTTATGGTTGAAGATATTGAAGCGCAAATACCAAAACACAAAGAGTAGTGGGACAATCGAGTGATATGTCATTGTCTCTTGGGGGGGTTTCACAGTCACAGACCTTTGTAATTGTCATCTTCCTGGGAAGATCTCTTACATAATAATAGCACCAACCTAACTTTGGATCCTCTTAATCAATTTGGCTTTTGGCTAAAGATCTTCTCATCTTCTTGTTCTTCCATGGAACCACTTGCTTCAGTCCTTCATACACTGTCGCCTGTTCTCAAACATAATAACAATAATGCCCACCAAAAAATAATCAGCAATTGGGTTCTTGTGCTAAAAGTAAAAAATTGTCCCTTTTAGGGTTTAGGGAGCAGTTCAAATGTCAAACAGAACAGTGATCTTGTCTTACTTGAACTCGTACAAATTCTATGCACGCATCTGCGACATATAGCCATTTTTAAGGTTCTGGCGTTGTAATTATCATGTTTTAAAGTCTAATGCCTTGGATCGCTTGAAGAAGAGCAAACAGAACAGAAACAGAGGACTTACCCAGAAATGAGGCTTTGAAGCTGAAGGCATGTCAGAGAAGCTGCCTGTTCTGCTAATGGCGTTGATCTTCGCTTCACTGCCATCACCATAGCCACCACCATTTCCTTCTTCTCCTTCCTCCTCCTCCTCCTCGTTTCTGCTGTATTCACTCTCTCTGTCCACGGAAGATGGAAAGACATAACTACCCCCACTAAACTCTGCTTTTCCCTTCAATGCCTTCCTCCTCCAAAACCCTTCAAACCCAAGTCTCCCTCTGTAACCTCCTCTCTTCCTTACAAGAGCCAGAGGACCATTGCTTTTCGTCTCTTCCTCTTCCTCCATTTCCTCTATATCTCCATAGGCGTCGCTCCTGAAAGATCCATAACAAGCACCGCCACTCATCACCATCATCCTGAAGGAAGATGACTCAAACCTTCTTGACCTCCCCATGCTGTACGGTCCATCGAGGACTGCGGTGGGTGAGGAGGACAGCTTGGTAATTGACTTAGCATCTTTTTCCACCAAGTGCAGAAGCCTAGGTGGAAGGTCCAAGGACTTGTTAGGAGACCATGAAGATGAAGAAGGTGATGATGTTGATGATGGTGAAGAAGAAGGTTGGTGCTTGGGCTTGCCGGGTTCTTCTTCCCAGCAAAAGGGGACCGAAGCTGCAACCGAAGGGTGAATGGGTGAGGAGAGAGAGTGTGTGTGGTTGTGGGCTTTTGATGGCAAGAGTGGGAGTTTTAGTAATGTTGTGCTTCCCTCTTGCTTTTCTTCTTCACACCCCATGTCCTTAGTGCAAGCTCTCTCTCTCTCCTGGGGTGGGTTTATATGTTCAAGTCTTGTTCTCTTCTCTTTCTCTCTGAGAGTTCTCTTACTTTTGTAGAGCTTCGTGTAGATTTGGGAGATAGGAATCTGTAAAATAAGGAGAGAAAAATAGAAGCGATTGATTAGAAAACAGAATATTAATTTAAAATAAAAGAGTACGCATCTATTAAAAAATTTCCGGTTTTGCGAGAGAAAAACAGAGACTTTGACGGCAGGAAGAACGGTCAACCTAAACCCTTTATAGGTGTCATAACGACGTCATAACTTCACTTAAGTTATTTTTTTAACACAAACCACATCCCTTATTTTGATACATGTAAATCTATGCTACCATCAGCATAACCAATAATACGCAAAAAATACGTTTATTACGTAAAACTTGGCCACAAAAATGCAACAAAAATATTTGGACCAGGTCAAACTTCAAGCGGTTCAAATGAATATTGAGATTACACATCTGAGTAATTACGATTAAGATATCAAGTTATTTCACATTACAGAAAAGGGTATGCTAAGTTCAATGAAACTAAGTGATGAATTCATTGATTCCGAAAAAAACTCTTTCTTTTTTGTTTCAAAAGAAGAAAAAGCGAAGGGTGTAGCCGGAAAGTGACAATGGCTTTTGGAAAAGGTGGGTTCGGGTGTTTGGCCTTTCATTCAAATCAAGCGTGGCAAAAGAAAGAACATTCACTGAGAGAGAGAGAGAGAAGAACAGAAAAGAAAAAGACATAAGATGATGATATGTGTTGAAGGAAAGAAAAAAGAAAAAAAACATAAAAAAATAAGAAGAAAAATTGGGGGTACCTGAAAGATGTCGTTCGGAGATTAGACAACACATTACAAAGGAGATGGATGCCAATGCCAGCTTGCGTTACCGGGTACTGTTGACTGTCTTCATGGCTGAGACGACATGACATTCTCGGATCCTCCATTCACGCCATACCTAACCTAACTACCAAATTACCACGACAATAATTCCTACATTGTGACGATATTCATTTTGTATATTCTCCAAAATACGAATAAATCTGCCGTAATGATTGTGCTAGAAAAATATCTACCGAAATGGCTATAAAGTCACCAATTATTGACAAACGTAACAAGTATGATGTTTCTAGATATAATACGTGGGCAAGTGTGGGAAGAAAACACCTGTATTTAGTAACTGATACCAAATGCAGACAATGTTCTTCGGATTGAAAGCATCAGGCTCATATAATAATGTTGAAGGCTATTCTCAATTATTGACAAACAGTCTAAATTCCTAACCAACCCACTTTTGCCGAATTAGTCTATAGCTCATTGCAGTTTCACGCACTATTTTACTGGCGCCAAAACATTTCATAAGTGTTGCGCGTCTAAATCGAACAAGACATTGGGAAATGCCCCACAAAAACAAGAGATTGGCATGGAACTATATGAGCAAAAAACATGAATTTGAGATGAACAGAAATCAAGTAAAACATAACCATGACTAAACAAAAATTACTATAGTGCTAGATTTTCGAGGCACTAAATAAAGGTTTTAAACCTAAACTGTGATGTAGTGAAATCCAGCTCTTGGCTTATACCTAAAGCAAGTAATTGATGAAGTACTCAACACATATTTTTCTTGTTTTCTAATTTTAAAATCCAAATAAAGCAAAGACTTTTTACCTTTTCAAGGAAGAAACAACCAAAGTAATCAAGCACACTGGCAAGGGTAGATGACGAGTGTGTTTGCTAGTGATGATGAAATGATTTGATATCACATAACTTTGGGGAAGGAGTCAAACGCAAGTTGGCTAACCACCATGCCCCCAAAATAAGGCATTATGCACAGAAAGTCATGAACTACAGAGAAAAATAAGAAAATATTTTTACAATAATGTCAATGTTATCCACTCAGTATAATGAAATTTGCTCAGGTCAAATCGAAATTATAACGGAAATTAAAGGCTTTGTGCATGTCTGAATAAAGTAGTCCCTTTCTTTATCAGTTAAATAAAAAACAGTATTCCTTTTTCTACTATTTTCTTTCTATTGAAAGAAGAAGAACATGAGACAGACACAAAAGAACCTTCATTCTGTAAGACATCATTTCCATCTAACCAAATGTTAGAACTCCCATGAAGAACAGAGTTTTGAAATCTCGCATTAAAAAGCAAAAAAAAAACGGAGTTTTAAAAACGTTGTTTGCATTGAAGTTGCTGGAACACCTTGGTTCTGACAACTCCACCACAGAGGACAAAAAAGATAACAGAACCAGCACAAAGGCCAAAAACGGTTTTATACGCAATGAGACCATTTTAAACAAAAGCAGACAAGAACAACTAATAAAGAAATAAAGAGTGCAGAGATGAAGATTCCAAAGAACATTAAAGATGATCTCAGAGTCTGAGCCCTTTATTTTGGAACTATCTTCTATGGCCACTTTAGTAATCCCTCCAATAACCAGTATTCAAATGAAAGAACAAGGTGAATATAATCTAATACAAAGAGAAAAAAGCCATGCCACAAGAAAAGGACATTGATGCGATAAGCCTGGATACAAAAGTGTATAATAAATTCAAATTTAAAGAGAATCAGTCATCGATTGAAAAGGGGAGATTTCGGCTTCCGGTGGTGTCTCTAAATTCGGTTGGTTAAAATAAATTACAAAAAAAAACAGAGGGAGCATCAGGCACTAAGATGTATATTAACCTAAATCAAAAGTAATGAAATAGCTTAAGATTCATCAAATAAGATAAATTGTGAATATTACCTTATTTCTTTCCATGTGTCCCAGACGGCTTTGATAACTCTAGAGTTGATGCATGGTAGTGTTGCTGGATTGCAACCAAATCATGAATCATGACCTAAGTTTTTTTGGAGAAACAGAGTGTAGTATCTGCAAATAAAAAAAAACGTTTAGAATGATATGAAACACAAACCTAAACTGCACAATACCTCTAGTAGCAAGCAACTGGAACGAAGTAAGTTCCAAGTTAATCCTAAATATTCAGGACATTCATCACATCCAAAATATTTCTATGATGAATCTGCTAATCTTTGTGTGCGGACATGAACAAATGGCAATCAAAGCGAATGAATGGCCTTGTAGACTTTTCTACCACATAGATCAGCCTTTCTAATTGATCAAGCTAGTGCAGACTGTAACATAATTAGCGAGTAATACGTCACCTGCCATCGGGGAGGGGCTTCTTTCAAACTTCCATGGACTGATACGAGAGAGATATCCGTCATTGCGGAAGAGACAGTGATAGATCCCAGAGATATTTCCACAAATCGGAAATAAGCTGATCAAGTAGAACATAAATGCCAGATATCATCAGAAGGTAAATTTATGAAGTCAATCAGCCCCACCACTCTCTTGATTCTCCAAACATTCAGATCACTCGTAAAAATATGAGAATGTAGAATCCATCTCAGTGTACATTTGTAGAGGAACTCTTCGATTTCAGCAAAAAAAAACGATATTACCATCAAACGAGGAAGCCCAATCGATCCGTCGCGTTATCAAAGTTAGAGAAATTCCCGGCCAGCACGCTCCGATCCGAACTGGCGGAGACGCTAACAGTCAGAGAGAGGCCGATCGGCAGCGGAAATAGCGCGTGAATGAAGCATTGGCAGACAAACAGCGCATTTTCTGGACCTGGCGCCATTCCTCTGATAATTTCTTCCGCGGGAAGAAAATCAAGGGGAGATGGAAATTCTAGGGTTTCGCGTAGGTTTTGAATCAAGGGAAAATTCTTTCGCACATTTGAAGCAAGTTTCTTACCGAGACCCGTATTAAGCCCATAACGAAGGGCCCAAAATATAACAACTGTCTTTAATAGCATTCCGGCCCAATTAATTTTCGTTATAGAATAATTACCAAAAAAAGTTCGAATTACGTGATTTTTTTTATAAAAAAAAAATTATACCAATTTGGGGCGATTTTCACTTCAAAAAATTTGAATTACTGTATTTACAATCTAATTACATCCTTTTATTTATACATATATATTTTGTGGTTTCTTGCCCTATAAGTCGGACTATACATATTATATCCAAGTTTTATGGATTTCGTTAGATATAGATACGAAAATGAAATTAGTTTCTTCGGATTCTAAAGCATTACAAGTACAGTGTCTAAAATGAAAAGTGATAATAACATACTCGAAAAATACAAAAGTGAATTTTGTCTGAAATACCGAAAACATATATCGTAATTACATCACGTGTTGAATAACAAAACTCGGTATGTGGTGCAAAATAGTTACGACAAAAGATGAATAATTTCGGATTCCCTGCCTCGGTGTCATCCCTTGGTTCCATGCAGATTCAATTTGCAGTGAAACTGGTCCCTATTCGTCTGTCCTCCTTTTCAATATGCATATATTGTATTATATGTACATATATATATATGTATATATATGCATATTTCAGGGGTTATATAAATAAATTGTTGGATTTATTTAAATAACTATACCTCTCATCAATCTCAATCTCTAACCGCTTGTCCCATTATTATTTTTAAATTTAAAAAAAAAAACTGTTCTTAGCGATTCTAACTAGTTGCTGTGCCGTGTTATGATTAGGAAGCAACAAGCCTTGTGGTTTTAGATAAAGAAGAACGACAGGACACAGTAGTTGGACCCCGCATGGTTTATTGACGGCTTCCCAAAGCACAAGAAGCCTCCAAATTAGAGCAATGGTAAAGTCCTAAAAACCCGAAAAGGAAAGTTTTGTCCGTTTATGATGTGTGATATTAATACGCCGCTGATAATACCCATTGTTTCCATTTTTTTTTCACCATATTTATATATGTATCGATTATTTGCATTTTGTGGTCCGTCGGAATATTACAGAGATATCGAAACCCTCGGTTTATAAAACATAAATATCTCTACCTACATTGTACGAAACTAATTATTTGGATAATTGATAACTAGGGCTATGTGTGAACATCGGTTCGGGTATAAAAAGCGAAGGGAGTCGGATGATTATATATAACCTTTTTTCCTGTCAAAATCTGATATAAATGTTGATTTAATATGATTTTAGTTTGTAAACTCAAACATGCATAAAATAATATAAACCATGCGATACATAAAAAATTATTGGAGACAATGAGTGATTGATGGTGATGACGAGGATACGAGTGGTAAATCATTGTTATTGGAGCGTAACTGATATTTTATCCCCAAATAGCTTTCAGTGAATTTTGGGCGTTTTCAGACTGTAACTTAAACGTGTTTATTAATTATTATGCAGAGAAAGAGATAGAGAGAGAGAGAGAGATGACTAGATGTCTGAGATTTTTCCAAAAATGTTTTAAGACGTATAATTAATCGTTTAAAATAATAATAGTCACATGTTTATAATAAAATAAATAAATTTTATAATGTTCAATTATATTTCTTAGTGAAACATACATGCATTGCACCTATACGTATTAATCAAAACCAAACAAATTATATATAATCATCGTTTATACGCAGCAATTACCTCAGCATCTAATTGAATAGAATACGTACGGTGGACCGTCTTGCATAAATTTTCACTCTGTAATTAATATCTAAAGTTAGTTATCATTTTATGTAACTATTCTGAAAATCGAGAGAAACCCGCGCACATGCTCATTAACAATGAAACTGAATCCACGAAACTATAATTATCATATCTATATATAATTCAGTATAGAGTAATTAAGACAAATGGTATGTATTTAATTACCAAGGATAGTTTTAACTAACCACGAGCTAGTAAAGAACACTGACATTTACATGTGCATAAAGAAATTGTACCTCGACGCTTTGGTCAACAGTAACGTACAACCCACAGATGCACTAACGAACCTACTCCACGACACTCATGGACACGCCGTGAACTCTCCGTCGACGAGCCACGTGGCGTCTCCATTGACGAAAGTGGACGACCACCCACCGGTCAACATCAACTCCGGCAGCTCAATGTTCTCCCAGAAATTGTCGCCGTTAACATTGCCGTCTTCGATGTCGGAGGCAACAACTTCGTCGTCGGGGTTGGACCTGGTCTTGACGGCGTGAGCAGCTTTGGAGGCAGCGGCCTGAATATCCCTGGCCGTACACGTGGACGGTCGGGGTAAATCGTCGACCTCGTCAGGGAAATTGAGCGAAGCTTTTCGTCCTTTGAGGCACAAAGCTGCCACGTCATAGGCTTTTGCCGCCATCTCAGGCACCGGAAAAGAGCCAAGCCAAATGCGGGATTTTTTCCGGGGCTCTCTGATCTCCGACACCCATTTCCCCCACCGCCGCTTCCGTCTTTTGCCGCCATCTCAGGCACCGGAAAAGAGCCAAGCCAAATGCGGGATTTTTTCCGGGGCTCTCTGATCTCCGACACCCATTTCCCCCACCGCCGCTTCCGTACACCTCTGTACACCGGATGCCGAGTCCCCCCGCCGCCGCTCCTGCCGGAGGCCTTCGGTTTCACGGCGGAGACGTTGGTTGTTGGTCCGTCGCCGGTGAGTGGTAGTTGAATCATTATTTCGATAATTAAGAGTTTGTTATAGTTATGACTTTACACTGTTTGGAGCATTTATAACCTCATCCAATCCTCACTTACTGAAGGCGTTACGACTCCTCCGTTCTTGAAATTACGTAAATGCCCATGTACTGATACATCGCTATAAATTATTTTGTCATATTATAAAACGCATATATATATATATATATATATATATTACCGGAATCACTGGTTTTTCTTTTGTTATATGTAATGAATGGAGCTCATCGTCCAAAATATATTATACCCCACTATATACAATTATTATTATTATATTGAAAAGTAAAGAAAACCTTACGTTAAAGATTATCGAACTACACGTGGATACACTATTTTTCATTTGATGTATCCAAATTATCAGTTTATGACATTTATATGTCTCCTGACTCGGAGGAGTTGTGAAATGTCTGTCAAACTCAAGTACTACATGTGGTGTCAAATATGCTCGTATTAGACCGGTCCAAATATACTCCCATGTAATTTATCGTAATATATTCTATAATTTGTAATATATATATGCATATATATATATATGCATATATATATATATATAACATTCCTTTGTTTCTAACCGTGCATAGGATATATATATATATATCACTAGCAGTGATTCTAACTTCTAAGGCACGCAAATGTTTTTTTTTTTGGGGTAAGAGGTGATTTGTATTATATATCGAAAAAGTCACATCCAAACAATTGTTTGCATACAAAAGATTTAGAACCATTAGGAAAGGCATGCAAATGTTCTACCCAAACCCTATGCATGATTATTTAAAAGGGAAATTCCCAAAAAAATCATCCAATTATGAGATAACTATCACATTCATCACGAACTTTTAAAATTTTCAAATTCATAATGAATTTGATTTTTTTTTCTAAAACATCATTCAAAATTTAAATTTTACCAAAATCCTCATCGCAACAGAATTAATTTTGCCACATAGGCAGAAAGCGCCTACATGGCGCCTACGTGGCATGTACGTGTTCGCCATGTAGGATACACGTGGCGTTAATAATAAAAAAATTAAAAAAAATTGATAAAAATGTAAAAAAATATAAAAATGTGAAAAAATTAAAAAAAAATGTAAAAATTGTAAAAAAAAAATTCAAAAAATGTAAAAAATGTAAAAATTATAAAAATTGTAAAATATATTGCAAAAAATTATAAAAATTGTAAAAAATGTAAAATTGCAAAACATTTCCAAAAATTGTAAAAATTGTAACAAATATAAAATTGTAAAGTTCGTGATGAATTTGATAGTTATCTCGTAATTGGATGATTGTTTTTTGAAAATTTCCCTTTTTTTAAAAAACAAATTAAAAATTATAATTTTTTACAATTTGTTTTACAATTTTTTATAATTTTTTGCATTTTTTTTACAATTTTTTACAGTTTTTATAATTTTTACATTTTTTGAAAATGTTTTACAATTTTATATTTTTTACAATTTTTACATTTTTTTGTAATTTTTTCACATTTTTTATAATTTGTTTTACATTTTTTCCAATTTTGTTTTAATTTTTTATTATTAATGCCACATGTATTCTACGTGGCGAACATGTACATACCACGTAGGCGCCATGTAGGCGCTTTCTGTCTACGTGGCAAAATTAATTCTGTTCCGATGAGGATTTTGTTAAAATTTAAATTTCGAATGATTTTTTAGAAAAAAATTTCAAATCCAGTATGAATTTGAAAATTTTAAAAGTTCGTGATGAATGTGATAGTTATCTCATAATTGGATGATTTTTTTGGAAATTTTCCTATTTAAAAATATCTTTATGCGATCTTTTTTTTTTTGGTTTGCATGGTGATATTGTGACTTGGTGTCTGGAAAGAACCTACCTTTACTATGTTTTCTTTTGTTATTGTTTTATTTTTATTAATTTTAAATATGTTGGGGATGAAGACTGATGGCCACTGGCCACCAACAAAACGTCGTTTTTCCGTAGCGTTGATAAATTATTTAAAACGGGGACCAATGTCCTACCCCTTAGAAGCAAATATTGTTTCGTCAATAAGAACATAGGTTTGTAATGTATTTTCCGCTGAAATTGTCATAAAAATAACAAAATTAATTAGATGCTCGATCGTTGTATGAAATAAATAAAAAGAAAAATGAAAAATACTTTACAGGCAAAAAAAAAGGAAATTAAAGCCGGAAAAGGCACCTAAAAGCGTAACTAATTATCCTTTTGACATTAAAGGAATCACGAGAACAATCACGTACGTCTTTATATTATATCATACAAAAAGGTGCCATAAATAAAAAGCACTTGAAGATTATGTAATACATATATTACCCATACTTCCATATTGTATACTCCATCAAAAATTGTTTTGCCCTGATTTCATCAGAATATGACTTATTATGCATTTATAAACATATATATTTTTTTATATAATCCATAAGTTCACCGAATCTTTGACCCAACGAAATCTTTGGTATTGTTTTGATTTCAATTAATTTGGCACTTTGTTCATGCTCTTTGAAGAGCATTTGTTAATAATGTTATGAGAACAATTGATCTTGTATTTCTCCCTGGTACGAACAAACTACATTTAAAACACATTTTTTCGTAAAAGATTATATATATGCGGTTGTCGCATTAAGACATCAATAAAAGTCTATCACTTTAACAAAACAAGATTCCCCCCATCGATCGTTCAGTTAGTATTCATTTTTTGTATTGTCTCCATTTCCTTATCGTTTACTAAAACCATAAATAAGTTTTGTTTTTTTTGGGTTAGAAAAAAAAAAGAACCCTAAGTAAGTTGAAGGATGAGAAGAGCATCCTCTCCTTTTATTGTCTGTTTGCTTCATTTGGTCAGCGGCATTTGGCAGATGGGTAAGTAAGGGGGTGACTGGTTGCACCGCCGCCACCCGCAAACGGAGCGGTTGCGATTTTCGGCGGTTGTGGACGATTGAAAAACTGACTGGTTGAAGCGCAACCAACCGCAACCGCAACCAAACTTGTGTTTTCTAATCGCAGCTTCCAACTTGCGTTTTGGTAGCGGTTTCCGGCGTTTTGACAAAAAACTAAAATATTTTTATTAGAAATTATATAAAACATTAATATATATATTGGTGATGATTTTGTTTAGTGTTATGATTTGATATTATTTTTTAGTATTATATTTTAATAAAAAAAATATAATAGTATAATTTTTAAGTTTAATAATGATTATTTTTAATAATTTTTATAATAAAATTATTTTTTTACTTAAAAATAAATTAAATTGATAATATTTATATTTTAAATTTATTATTTAATTATTATAAATTTAGTAAATAATTTTTATCAAATGATACGAAAAATTTAATTAAAACTATTATAAAAAATTATTTTTAAATAATATTTTTTTTTAACAATTTATATCAAAACGCAATCGCAACCGTAATGAACCATTCACTTCTAACTGCACCCACCCGCAATCGCTACCAACAATAACTTCTCAACCAGTCAGTACTAATCATTTATAATCGCTATCAAACGTTCTGAAAACGCTGCCACCCGTAATCGCAACCGCTGCGGTACAACCAGTCGAACCCTAACTGAGACAACGGAGTTACAAACACTGCCTTTTTTTTTATCACATCGCATCTTTCAAGTCAGTTGTTTCCAGAAATTTTAGTAATTTTTTTTTTTAAAAAAAAAGTGAAAGTGGGACAAAAAAGAAACACCTGTTAGATTTAAGACACCATAGTAACTGAAAACTGTCATGATGGATATGGATACAGGATATATCATATATATATATATATGCATGGGTTTGACTGAAAGTTTATTTTTTTTTACCATATATTGAAATTAATTTTAGAAAAGTGCAAAACTTGATCGACTTTGCAAAACTAAATCATGCACGAGAAGCTGGAGCCTGGAGGCCGATAAAATCTTATCCCACTCACGGACCAGACAGAACAACTTCTATCTTTACCAATCTACAAAACATGTAGTCATTTGATATATACACACACATATATGTATATATACATGTATAGAGAGAGAGAGCTCCTACGCCGCCGACCAGTTATTTCGAATACATTTAAAAATAATAAGAGAAATGTGCTCAGTAATCCATACAAATGCCTCGATATTTTTGGCCTCGACTGTGTGTCCATTTCCCAACACTGGTCCCGGAAATTTTAACCATCCCACGTTCGAATGCAACGTATGTTAAAAATCATACGCATATATACATACATACATACAAACTGTCGACGGAAAAAAAGTTTCATAATTTACTCATGGTCATAAAATACTGGTTGGTTTTCCTGAAACATCCATTAGTTTTTAAAGTCCGTTCGTCATAACGCAATATTGATTGGAATGTCATTAATATTGTTTTCCCCGTAACAATGTAAACTGCTAAAAAGAGCAGGGATAACATCTACCAAAAAATGATATTAATACTATAGATTAAACCATATATATATATATATATACAGGGTGATACTGATTATAATTGAAGTTGTACGTAAAATGCCAAAAAAGCCGCATGCAGTGAGGACCACCTCTTTTTCTCTTCCCCATACAAAAAATAATAATTCTGATATTATTGAATTTTTTTCTGTAATTGTGATATTATTGAATTTCATAGTCCAATATTATACGTCATGAGAGTTTTCAGGTGTACTTATTTTGATCGGTCAATGTACTCTTTTTTGGGCGCTTAGAGGTATCGATTTGATAAGAAGTTCAGCAATTTTACAAAATATATTGGACATTAATCAATATACTTGGTAACAAAAATATGGTTTTAATAATTTGATGTAGAATGTCTAATTAAGCTCATCTAAAAAAAATCTTCGAACAACACAACAATTTATTTATACAACATTATCAAAAGCTTAAAATGGAGATAGATAATATTCAAGGTGTGCAGTTATATTGGTGTGTAAATATCCACATTATATAATAAAATGCAACACGTAATTACCGTATCTAATGGTCATCGGCGTGACCAATAGACACTTGCCACGGCAGATTAGATCCCTATCAGAATCTTGAGGGCCCGGCCTCATAATTTGAAGTCACATTGGGCTTCATTTATCAGGCCCAAGTATTTGTTTGGGCGATGTAAATGTAGGCCCATATAGAAAAGCGGATCAAACGATGACCCAACCCAATACTTTAAACAGCCCGTAAGGATGGTGTTAAGTGGGGCCCATGTGGATTTTCAAGCACGTGAAGCATGCGGTCCCCACTTTTCGCGTTTGTTGGATAATCCCCCCACCCGTGACTCGTCCTCATAATAAACTGCTTAGCTTTATTGAATTTTATTCCGAGTACCAAGTTACATTCAACCCACCGAATGAAGCAGAGTATTATAAATTGGTTTTTTTTTTTTGGTCATCATCTGTTAATGTCACGTCTTTATTTCTCGAATTATATCTTCATATTCTCCATTGGATTTTTAGATTTGATTTTCACAGTCAAAACAGTATACTAAATGTGAAAGATTCAAATTGTAAACTTGACATGTGACAAATACAGATCTGTCCCACCAGAAAAAATAAAATTAAAAATTAATAAAGAAAACCCGATTAAATATTAAAAAAATAGAAAAAAAATAAAAACAAGAGGGGGAGAGAGAGAGTGCAATGCAGACGCATGCCAAAAGACACGTTAAAGATGGGGAAAAAATAAATGCAGGTCACGTTCTTCTCACCTTGGTTTACCTCCTCGATCCACGTGATCATCACGTGCTCTTCACGCCTCCCGTCGGCTCATTTTTTTTTCTTCTTTTTTTTTTATCTCCTGCTAGATTCTTGATATGTAATTTTATATCCCGAAAATAATGATTCACGGATTTTCTGTTATCAATTTGTTAGCCTGACAATATATTATAAGCTTTTAAAAATATTAAATTAATGACTTTACGGAGTTTTTTTTTCCACGACTTTACGGAGTTTTAAATTGGTAATTAGACAAACCAATACAGCCCTCGACCTTCAAAAACTAATCATTACACATACATGGGTGAAACTATTATTACCGACTGCTACTATTCACGCACGTTTAATGGTTTGAATTAATGAAAGAATAATGAGATATAAAAAGGATTCATGTTTATAAAAAAAAATTTGCATTCATGTTGAAATGTAACAATCATGATACAGAAATGGGATATAGAAATATGATGAAATCATAAATTCACTTCATTGACTTTCCAACGTACCACAAAATGCTATTGGTTCACGTTGTAATCACGTGCTCTGTTTTTTGCCTCTTTTCGTTAATGATTTGATTAATTAGTTCATAATACTAATAATAACAAACTGGTTTTTATATGTGTGAAATAGCTTCTGGTCAATGTTTGCGGTGCTTTTGTCTCAAACTTGTTCGGTCCAAAGTTTCCAGTTCTGGATTCGTTTAGTTTCATATTTGATATATCACATAACAGTTAGTGTTCAATATATATATACATATACATATATGTGTATGTATGTATAAGACTGGTTCAGTTTGTCTGATTACTTTATTTTTTTTTTTAAATGTAGAAATCTCATTATATAAAACAGTATAACAGGTCAGCTTCAAGTAATGTGTTAATACACACACCCACATATATATATATACACACACGTGAAATCAAATTTACAGATACAAAACATAATTTAGATATATGGTGAATTATCTGTACGGTATTGTGCATAATGGATCATATAACTCAAACGCCAAAAAAGATATATCTTATGTATGAGATCTCTCTAAGTTCTTCAAAAAAAAATCATAAAAACCCAACAAACTGAAATCATCAGAGATAATGCAAAAAACACAGTATAAACATGTACGGTTGATATGATTTTTAAAATACTATAATACAGATTTCAATCTATATTCAAATGGGAAACGGGGCACCTTAAATTTGTATCGTCGTGACGCAGACACTTGAGACAAGACAAAAGCTTGTCGAATTCGAAGTTCCAAATCAAATTCAATCCATACCTCCTGATAAGATTTAGATCCGACCCGGGTTGGTTACATTCTAACCATACCCTATAGTTAACAAGTAACCATGGTCCACTTACGCAAGTGTTTTGCTTTTGTTTTCATTAATAAAAAGAGCACGAAGAACATGAGTCGGACTTTCTCTCTCTTCCTCGCTTTCATTCAATTGGGTATGCGGAGACAGAGAGCGAGCGAGGAAATCTCAAAAATCCAATCTTTTCCTCTTTTTTCCTTCTCTCTCGTTTTTGAACTTCCTTATGTTGTTTGGGGGGTTTTCTGGGGAAGTTTGGTGATTGTTTGTTCATTTCGGGCTTGGGACAGGTTGATTCTCGGATTTATAAGGATTGGGAGAGTTTTCGATTTTCAGGTGAAATCTCGTTTTTCCCGATTGGAATGTGCTGTTGATTGATGTTGTCTATTGATTTCTTCAGATATTTTTCCGTTGTTCCCCTTTTTCTCGATCGATTTGTGTGTCGTTTTCTTGGTTTTCATCTCGGTTATATTCATATAGGTGAGATCTGGGGATCGTTGGTTCCATGCAATCTTATGAAGCTCCGCCGGATTTTTCGCATCTGGGTGAACTGCAAACCCTAGAGTTTGACCAGCATTAGATCTCCGGCGATCTGGGTTTTGTAAAAAGCTTCGGTTTTTGGTTAGTGCGTGTTCGTCGTGTTAGGGGTTTTGAGGGCTTTGAATCCATCGAAGATGAATATCGGCTGCGTAGTGTGGAACGAGGACGATAAGGACATTGTTGGTTCTTTGCTGGGGAAACGTGGTTTGGATTACTTGCTTTCGAATTCCGTATCGAATGAGAATCATTTGATGACGATGGCAAGCGATGAGAATCTGCAGGACAAACTCTCCGATCTCGTCGAGAGACCCAACGCTTCAAACTTCTCCTGGAACTACGCCATCTTCTGGCAGATTTCGAGGTCAAAGACTGGAGATTCAGTTCTCTGTTGGGGCGACGGCTCGTGTAGGGAGCCAAAGGAAGGAGAAGAGTCTGAGATAATCAGAATTCTCAGCATCGGGCGAGAAGAGGAGACTCAGCAGAGGATTCGTAAGAGGGTGTTGCAGAAGCTGCACACCTTTTTTGGAGGATCGGAGGAGGAAAATTACGCATTTGGGTTAGATAGGGTTACAGATACAGAGATGTTCTTCCTGGCATCCATGTATTTCTCCTTCCCTCGTGGGGAAGGTGGTCCGGGGAAGTGTTTCGTCTCAGGAAAGCCCGTCTGGTTATCTGACGTGTTGAAATCTTGTTCCGACTACTGCGTAAGGTCCTTCCTCGCGAAATCTGCAGGAATCCGGACAGTTGTTTTGGTTCCGACTGATGTTGGTGTTGTTGAGCTTGGTTCCATGAGATCTTTGCCCGAAAGCCATGAATCGACGCAGTCTATAAGGTCGTTGTTTTCGAGTAAATTGACACACCAGATGGTGCCAGCCATCTTTCCCCAGAAGAAAGATGAGAACAGAATTTTGGGAATTGGACTATCGAATCTCGGTGTTCTGGAGAGAGTAGGAGGGGCTCCGAAGAATTCGGGGAAGGATTTGCATAATTTGGGTCACATTCAACATGGTCATAATCATAACCAACAAAGGCAATTCAGGGAGAAACTCGCCATTAGAAAGACGGATGACAGAGTTCCCAGGACACCGGAAGCTTATCCCAATGGAGGCAAGCTTATGTTCTCAAATCCGCCGACCAACACTGTCCTGAGCCCTTCATGGGCACAAACTGATATATACGGGTCTCTGGCCGTATCATCGACCCCAACCACAGCAGCACAAGCGACCAATGGCAAGGATGTCCCGAGTGGAGATGATTTCCGGTTTCTGCCACTGCAGCCACAGAGACCAGCCCAAATACAGATTGATTTCTCTGGTGCAAGTTCAAGGGCTTCAGATAATTCAGACGGAGAAGGCACAGAATGGCCGGACATTGGTGATGATGGGAGCAGACCAAGAAAACGTGGAAGGAAGCCAGCAAACGGTAGAGCAGAGGCCCTTAACCATGTAGAAGCTGAGAGACAACGGCGTGAAAAGCTGAACCAACGGTTCTATGCGTTACGAACCGTTGTGCCCAATATATCCAAAATGGACAAAGCCTCTCTGTTGGGCGATGCAGTGGCTTATATCAACGAGCTTCATGCCAAGCTCAAGGTCATGGAAGCCGAACGTGAGACGTCAGGGTACAGTTCAAAACCACCAATCAGCCGAGAAGCCAAGATCAATGTTCAAGCCTCAGGGGAAGATGTCACAGTGAGAGTGAACTGCCCTTTGGATTCTCACCCGGCTTCAGGAATCCTGCACGCATTTGAAGAGAGCCAAGCAACGGTTATTGACTCGAAGCTGGAAGTAGGTCAGGACACGGTACTGCACACGTTTGTGATAAAGCCGGGAGAGTTGACAAAAGAGAAGTTGGTCTCAGCTTTTTCCCGAGAGCCGTCCAGTTCTTTACAGTCGAGATCATCGTCGGGTAGATAGCAGGTGGAGAAGTAGCTGTGGAAGGAAGGAAGGAAGGAAGGAAGAACCGATTTTCAATGGTTCTTCATCAAGTTCTTTTTTTTGGGTTATACATCTGTAAGGATCCTCAATAGAGATAGTAGTAATTGATAAAGTCGCCATATTCTTCATACATCGAATTACAATTTACGTTAGTTAGGAGCCCTGCCCTTGTTTGTTCAGTACTTGTTGCCCATGGACATGGAGCTACATATCCCCACCACCATGACTAAAAACTCTCTACGAATTAAGATTCTGTAAATGAACTTTGCCTCGCTGAAGGGCTTCTTCTGAGTCCAGATTCCATCAGCTTTTCGTAAAGCATTGCCCTTTTCGACGACTCAAGCAAGAATCCTGTCGGTTTTAGCAAAAGCACAGACCCTCCTGAAAAAAAATCTCTGCCACGTAGGACCAGACACATCCAGAACTGGCCATGTTCTTATTCTCGTCTTTGACTTGTTTAGATTCTTCAAACTGGTAGGCCCACTTCAGTTCATCCCATAGTTCTTTGGTAAAAGATGATCTAACAAGGAGTTCGACAAGTGATGGTGGTAAAGGTGTAAGAGTTCATCTCTCGGCCAAATTTCTTCTGGGTTGGTTTGTGGACCTAAATGCAGAATCTCTTTTTTGGAAGCCTCTCTTTTACAATGTGTTTCCCAGTGATGATAATTATTTCTAGGGTTTTAGTTTTCAGATTTTGATCATCAAACTATTTTTTCTCCTAAAAATTGGATATGAAAGAACATGGAGAAATCATGTCTTTGCAAACAAGAAGTAGGTGTTAAAAAAAACAGTCACACAAAGAAAGAGATGAATACTTTTATGATTTTAAAAATGATAAATGGCAACAAAAACATAGCTACTGAGTACTAAACTTTCGAATTATTTTAATCCTCTTTGGTAATGTATATATATATTGGGACAATAAGCGAACATAATCTGAAAACAAACTATCAACAAACGATTCCAATAGATCAACAGATGAATGGAGCATGGAGTCTTATCATTGGTATCGTCGTAGCCAATGCCATGTTCGCAGCCAATGTCTTCTTATGGAGGTGGCTAAAGGCATTAGCGTGTAAAGCCCAAAGGCTTCCTCCAGGCCCACCAAGATGGCCCATTGTCGGTAACCTTCTCCAATTGGGCCCTCTTCCTCACCGTGACCTGGCCCAGCTATGTGACAAGTACGGCCCATTGGTTTACCTCCGGCTAGGGAGCGTCGATGCCATCACGACCAACGATCCTGACACAATCCGAGAAATCCTTCTCAGACAGGACAACGTTTTCGCCTCGAGACCCAAAACCTTAGCCGCGGTCCATCTAGCCTACGGATGCGGTGATGTGGCCTTGGCTCCTATGGGCCCGCAATGGAAGAGGATGAGGAGGATTTGTATGGAACACTTGCTAACCACCAAAAGGCTCGAGTCTTTTGCCTCGCAACGGGCCGAGGAAGCACGGTATCTCGTGCGAGACGTTCTTGAACGGGCCGAGACCGGGAAGCCCATAAACCTTAGAGAAGTATTGGGTGCTTTCTCCATGAACAACGTGACGAGGATGTTGCTAGGGAAGCAATTTTTTGGGCCTGGATCGGTAGTGGGCCCAAAAGAGGCCCAAGAGTTTATGCATATAACCCATCGATTGTTTTGGTTGTTGGGTGTGATTTACTTGGGAGACTACTTGCCGTTTTGGAGGTGGGTCGACCCTTACGGTTGCGAGAAAAGCATGAGGGAAGTCGAGAAGCGTGTGGATGATTTTCACACGAAGATCATCGAGGAGCACAGGAGGGCAAGATTGGAAAATCACAACAAAAAAGAGATGGATTTTGTGGATATTTTATTGTCTTTACCCGGCGAAAATGGGAATGAACACATGGATGACATGGAAATCAAAGCTCTGATTCAGGTATTATCTTTAACAAACATCTTGATCTTGGTGATAATCCAATCACTAGCACATGTATATTATCTATAATGACCTTACTAACAGGACATGATAGCTGCCGCCACTGATACGTCCGCGGTTACGAACGAATGGGCGATGGCCGAGGTGATCAAGCATCCATCCGTGCTGCGAAAGATCCAACAAGAGCTCGACAAAGTCGTGGGATCAGACCGAATGGTCAACGAGTCGGATCTGACCCATTTGAACTACTTGCGTTGCGTGGTACGAGAGACCTTCCGGATGCACCCGGCCGGACCGTTTCTGATCCCGCACGAATCGGTCCGACCGACCACAATCAACGGCTACTACATCCCGGCCAAGACCCGTGTCTTCATCAACACTCATGGGTTGGGTCGAAACGCCAAGATATGGTCCGACGTGGACGAGTTCATGCCCGAACGGCATTGGCCCGAAGAAGGTGGTCGGGTCGAGATAAGCCACGGACCAGATTTCAGGATATTACCGTTCAGCGCCGGGAAGAGGAAGTGTCCGGGGGCTCCGCTGGGCGTGACGATGGTTCTAATGGGTTTGGCTCGGCTGTTCCATTGCTTTGACTGGTCTCCGCCGGAGGGTTTCTCGCCGGAAGATATCGATACGAATGAGGTTTACGGTATGACGATGCCCAAGGCCCAACCTTTGTGGGCCGTTGCTAAGCCGCGCTTGCAGGCCCATTTGTATGGCCTTGATTAATCGGTCTTTAACACACGCATCATAAAAAACACAAAAGCTTTTAACTTTTTTTTTTGGCATGACAAAAGCTTTTAACTTGGAAACGTTATCTGTTACATATGCGATCATCTGTTGCTGTCTGAGTTGTGATGCATCAAAGGGGTGGCAAGTGATATCACTTGCCCATCAAGAAAAACCTAAGATCTTGAAGGGCATTGTTTTCTTTTACTTTCTCTTTGTTTCTACACGTTTCTCTTGCAGATTCTTGATTCTGTTCTGGAAAATAAAAGCTTTTTCTTGGGTATTTTGGTCCACATTTTCAATATATTTTTTTTTGTTTCTCCTATTGCATGTCCAATCCTTCGAGAGAAAAAAAAAGGTTTGATAGAGATCAATGCTTCAACCTTGAAAGGTATTTGCCCACTGTTTGTTATGTTCACATTCACAGTACTGTTGGAGCGGTCTCATCTCTCTAACATTTAATTTTGGGCGTCACCCATTTAATTTCATTCTCTCTTAATAAAAAAAACTATGAAAGATCCAATCTGGGCTGGTCCTTGGCGCGTAATTCTCCCAATTGCGATATAGTTTTATTACTATTCACTGATATAACTTGCCATGAAAATATAATTAAAATTTTTAAATTCTTTTACACGAAAATTAAGATGCATATTTCATAAAAATATCTAAAAACTGATAGACTTGTATTGGAACCCACGTGCATCATCTGCAATGTCTCATCCCATGTAAAATTAGAGGGAATGGTGGCATCAATCGTGGGGGAAATCATTACAATCAAAAACCCATTAACCCCAAGAGGTGGGTTTTCATTGTTTCAAAAAATTAACCACATTCATTGTACTCTTAAAGTTAAGTAAATCCAATCCAAGTGTACCCCACACCCACTTACTATATATTGTCTTCCTCTTCTCCAAGGTCAGATTTATAGTTGCGCATTCAATTTGCGTGAATGAAATTAGATCACCGTATTTTAATTGGAATTAAAATAAAATAAATTTATCTAAACGTTACTGTGAGAAAGCAGCAAACTTTTGCATTCATTGAGCCTAAATTCCAACCAAAAAATAAAAAAATCTGTAACTCTGCACTTAATTTCGTTGGATATTTTCAATTTTTCGACAGCTATGTAAATTTAAAGGCGATTGCTTTTTCCCACGCCATCTTCAAGACTTGCGCAATTATTTATACACTCCCCACTTCCTCTCATTTTCCGAGAAACCGCGAGAAAATGGAAGGGAAAGCTCTCCTCTTTTCCCTCTGTTTTCTCTTTCTATCTCTTCCTTCTCTCTCTTCCCCTCCCATTTTCCAAACCCTAATTCCCAATTCCCTCCCTTCAGCTCCATCCCTTCCATTCGAATCTGAACTCGAATCCGAATCGCTATCCGCCGAGGCGTCTCTCGCTCTTCAGCTCCACCACATCGATGCACTCTCCGCCAACAAGACGCCGGAGCAGCTCTTCCACCTCCGCCTCCACCGAGACTCCCGGCGCGTTGAATCAATCGCCGCCTTGACCCGCCGTGGAAATGCGAGCCACGCGCCAAGCGCCGCTGGGTTTAGCAGCTCGGTGATCTCCGGTCTCTCTCAGGGAAGCGGAGAGTACTTCACTCGCATCGGCGTTGGGACTCCGGCGAGGTATCTTTACATGGTCCTCGATACCGGCAGCGACATCGTCTGGCTCCAATGCGCTCCTTGTCGGAGATGTTACTCTCAGTCCGACCCGATTTTCGTCCCGGCAAAGTCCAAAACCTACGCCGGAATATCCTGTTCGTCGCCGCTTTGCCGTCGTCTGGATTCTCCGGGATGCAACACCCGTCGCCGGACTTGCCTCTACCAAGTCACCTATGGTGATGGGTCCTTCACCGTCGGCGATCTATCCACCGAAACTCTAACTTTCCGGCGGTCGCACGTGAACGGCGTGGCTATCGGCTGTGGCCACGACAATGAAGGTCTCTTCGTCGGCGCCGCCGGTTTGCTAGGACTTGGCCGGGGCCGGTTATCGTTCCCCGCCCAAACCAGCCGCCGGTTCAACGGGAAATTCTCGTACTGCTTGGTCGACCGGTCCGCGACCTCCAAACCGTCGTCCATTGTGTTTGGCGACGCGTCTGTGTCACGCACTGCCAGGTTCACGCCGATGCTGTTAAACCCGAAGCTCGATACGTTCTACTACGTGGAGCTATTGGGGATCAGCGTGGGAGGGACGCGGGTCCCCGGCGTGTCGGCATCTCTGTTCAAGCTTGCCCAAACCGGCAACGGCGGAGTCATACTGGATTCGGGCACGTCGGTTACCCGCTTGACCCGACCCGCCTACATCGCCATGAGGGACGCGTTCCGGGTCGGAGCCAAGAACCTGAAACGGGCAACAAGCTTCTCATTGTTCGACACGTGTTTCGACCTCTCCGGTTTGACTGAGGTCAAGGTCCCTACGGTGGTTCTCCACTTCCGGGGAGCTGACGTGTCACTCCCGGCGACGAACTACTTGATTCCGGTGGACACCAACGGCAAATTCTGCTTCGCATTCGCCGGAACAGCGAGCGGACTCTCCATCATCGGGAACATCCAGCAACAGGGTTTCCGGGTCGTCTACGACTTGGTGGGTTCTCGGGTCGGGTTCGCTCCACGAGGATGCGTGTGAGCTTGCCCCGGCCCGACCGTACGGATGATGTACCTCCCTTTAAAAAGAATTTAACTTGTGTGTTTGTCGAAATCTTGAGCGGTAGATTTGCTAAGTTGTTGATATTTTGCATCACGTGTTGTCGGTCCCATCATCTCCTAGATTTTTCTACTGTTCGCCCTGAAAGAAAGTAGCCTTCAATACCCTAGTTGCTAC